CAGTGGCTCACACTTGTATTCTCAGCATTGGAAGGCCAAGGCTGGAGGATTGCTTGAGGCCAGGAGTTCAAGACCAGCCTGGCAAAATAGCAAGACCCTGTCTCTACCAAAAAAAAAAAAAAGAACGAAAATTTAAGAGAAGGTTTATAAAGTTAATTTTTTAAAAAATTACTCTTCTAAAATGCAATTGTAGCCCAGGCGCAGTGGCTCAAGTCTGTAATCCCAGCACTTTGGGAGGCTGAGGTGAGTGAATTGCCTGATTCTGCAGGTTTGAGACCAGCCCAGACAACTTGGTGAGATCTCATCTCTACAGTAAATCAAAAATTAACTGGGCATGGTGGTGTGCTCCTGTAGTTCCGGCTACTTGGAAGTCTGATGCAGAAGGATCGCCGGTGCCCAGCAGGTTGACACTGGGGTGGCCGTGAGTGTGCTACTGCACTCCAGCCTGGGCAGCAGAATGAGACTCCAACACAAAAAATAAAATTTAACAAAATGCAAGTGTAATCATGCTACCATCACCCTTAAATCCCTCCAAAGGTTCTCCATGTCCCTCAAATAAAGGATACTCGGGCCAATGTTGATTTTTACCCACAATATCATCCCTTTTCCAGCCCTGTTAGACCACTTGTACATTTCAGAAATTGCTATCATGTTTCAATATCCGGACTTTTCTTCAAGCTATTTGCTCTGCATGCAATGTTCTTTCTGCCAGAGGGACCTATTTTCCTCTGTCCCCCACTCATCTAACTGCTCAGTTCAGCGTCCCTCATTTCCTGGGGTCTTTTTGCTCATGATATAGTTGTCTGTTATGGAGCTTTAGGCACTTTTTGTGCTTTTGTATATTTGTTTCCCTCCACTAGCCTTGAGCTTTCTGCATGTCTCGTTCTATTTTTTTTTTATCCTCAAATCTAAGTGAATGGATGAATAAACTCCTGAGCTACAGCAACAGTATGCTCACCCAGAAATTTCTTTCTTTCTTTCTTTCTTTTTTGAGTTGGAGTCTCACTCTGTTGCCCAGACTGGAGTGCAGTGGCACGCCCCCAGCCACTGCAGCCTCGACCTGCTGGGCTCCGGCAATCCTTCCGCCTCAGTCTTCCAAGTAGCCAGAACTACAGGCATGTGCCACCATGCCTGGCTGATTTTTTTTATTATTATTTATTTTAGAGACGAGGTCTTGCCAAGTTGCCCAGGCTGGTGTTGAACCCACGGGCTCAGGCAGTCTTCTCACCTCGACCTCCCAAAGTGCTGGGATTGCAGGCCGAGCCACCAAGCCCGGCCCAGAAATTTCAGTCATATCAAACTGTCACCTCTAGATAGGTACAATCCAGAATCAAACTTGTTTTAGATTGCCTGAATTTTTAGAAAGATAATTGTGGGCTTTTCACACAGGGAACAGCATAAATAAATTTATACTCAATGCATCACATTCCTCTTTGTTTTGAGTCAGAGTCTCACTCTGTCGTCTAGGCTGAAGTACAGTGGCACACTCATGGCCACCGCAGCTTCTATCTGCTGGGATCAGGTGATCCTTCTACCTCAGTCTTTGAAGTAGCTGTGAACTACAGGCACATACCACCACACCCAGCTAATTTTTTTGAATTATTGTAGAGATGAGATCTCGCCATGTTGCTCAGGCTGGTCTCGAACCCGTGGACTCAGGCAGTCCTCTCACCTTCGCCTCTCAAAGCACTGGGGTTATAGACATGAGCCACTGACCCGGCCCTCAATCCCTTTATTGAACTCTGTGGCCTTTGGAGCTACATATGGACCATCTCCTGCCTCTCTCACATTCTGTGTCACCTGGGTTAAATTGCATAATTGTTCTCAGCCTCCGCTTCCTCCTCTGAAAAATGCATATATAGTGGTGCCCATCTCAGGTTGAAGAGCAAGACCAAAGAGTAGTATGTAGAAGATGCTTAACTCCTTTGTATAAATAGTCTGCTCATGTACTCAGTGAAAGTTTTCCTTTAAATCTGTTCTTGTTTTTGTTTTTTTAAAGATTTTACAGCGCATTCATTTGACACATTCTGTTTTTTTTTTAAATTATTGTTTTAAAGATGTAGGATACAATTCAGGGTTGAGTATACAAGTGCTCATTATGCAGATACCCTTGTTGATGAGGTGTGCCCCCCACAGAATCCCACTACTGTCAATCCCGCCAGCACACCCACCCCCGCAATTTTCCACTACTGACAATCCTTTTCTTACAGCGTTATGATAATTGTTCAAGATCCACTTATGAGTGAGAAGGTGTGATACTCAGTTCTTCGTTTCTGTGATAGGTCACTCAATATTATAGACTCTAAGTCCATCCAAGTTGCTGTGAAGTTCATCATTTTGTCCTTTATGGCTGTGTAGTATTCCATTGTGTATGTGTACCACATTTTTAAAATCCAGTCCTCTTCTGATGGGCAGCATGGTTGGTTCCATGTTTTTGCTATTGTGAACAATTCTGCAATAAACATGCATGTGCAGATATCTTTTTCATAGAGTGATTTGTGTTCCTCCAGGTATATTCTCAGTAGAGGGATTGCAGGGGTCATATGGAAGGTCGATTTTTAGATCTTTTAGGAATTGCCAAACTGCTTTCAACAGAGGTTGTACTAGTTTACACTCCCATGAACAGTGTAGAAGTGTTCTCTTCTCCCTGCATCCTCTCTAGCATCTGTTTTTTGAGTTGTTGATGATGACCATCCTGACTGGAGTTAGGTGGTATCTTAGTGTGGTTATAATTTTGTATTCCTTTGATGACTAGTGAGGCTGAGCATTTTTTCGTATATCTGTTGGCTGCTCATATGTCTTTTTTTGAGAAGAGCTTATCCATATCTTTTGCCCACTTTGTAATGGGGCTGTTTGTTTTTTTCTTTTTGACATGTTTGAGTTCCTTGTAGATTCTAGATATTAGGCCTTTGTCAAATATACAGTTGGCAAATATTTTTTCCCAGTCCATGGGCTGTCTCCCTGCTCTCTGGATGGTTTCTTTGGCTTTGCAGAAATTTGTCTGTTTGATGAGATCCCACTTGTCTATCTTATCTCTCATAACATGGGTTCTTAGGGTTTTGATCAGGATTGGTTGTCAGTTCCAATTTCCATAGGGTGTGTCCTGCATTTTCTAAGGTTCTTATAGTTTGAGGTTTTACATTTAGGTCTTTGATCCATTTAGAGTTGACTTTTGTGTGTGGTAATAGGTAGGGGTATTGTTTTAATCTTCTGCATGCGGTTAGCCAGTCTTCCCAGCACCATTTACTGAAGAGGTTTTCTTCCTAGTGCTTGTTGGTGGAGGCTTTGTCGAAGATGAGTTGGTTGAGAAATTGAGGTTTTTGCTTCTGGAATCTCTATCCTGTTCCATTGGTCTGTGTGCCTGTTCTTGTACCAATACCAGGCTGTTTTGATTATTGTAGCTTTATAATAAAATTTAAAGTCTGGTAGTGTGCTACTTCCCACTTTGTTTGGTTTTTTTGCTGAGGATTGTTTTGGCTACTTGTGGTCGTTTATGTCTCCATATGAATTCCTGTATTGTTGTTTTCAGGTCTGAAAAAATGCTGCCAGTAATTTAATGGGTATTACGTTAAATCTGTAGATTCCCTTGGGTAGGATAATCATCTTAACAATGTTGATTCTTCCAATCCATGAGCATGGTATATTTTTCCACTTGTTTGTATCATCTTTGATTTCTTTGAGCAGTGTTTTGTAATTTTCATTGCAAATGTCATACACGTCTCTGGTTAGGAAGATGCCAAGATATTTGATTTGTGCTGCTGTGTGGCTATTGTGGATGGGATTGTGCTTTTTATTTGGGTTTCTGTTTGTTTATTGTTGGTGTATAGAAATGCAACTGTCTTTTGCACATTGATTTTATACTCTGAGACTTTGTCAAAGTCCTTTATCAATGCAAGGAGGATTTTGACAGATTCTCTTGGGTTTTTGATGTATAAAATCATGTCGTTTGCAAAGAGGGATGACTTGACTTCCTCTTTTACTAATTGGACACCCCTGATTTCCTTCTCTTGTCTGATTGCTCTGGCTAGGACTTCCAATACTATGTTGAACAGGCGGGATGATAATGGGCATCCTTGTCTTGTTCCAATTTTCAGGGGAAATGGTTTCAATTTCTGTCTGTTTAGCCGTATGTTGGCTGTGGGTTTCTTGTAGATGGTTCTTAACTATTTTGAGGTGTTTTCCATCTATCATTTAACCACATTCTTAACTGCTAGGTGCCAGCTCTGTACTGAGTGTTGGGGTGCAGAGGTGAGCAAGGCAGGCAGATTATGCCATCTGGTGCCTTCCAGTATGACTAAGGAAACAGACATGAAATGATCACTTGCCTACAGTTTTCTAAGTGCCAGAAAGGCAACATCAGAGAGGCTGGTAACCTTATTTTCCTTTGGTCTTTTTTATCTCCTTAGGAAATTAAGTGTTAAATCCATCACAAACCCTCGGTACCTGGATAGCCTGGGGAACCCATCGGTGAACGGCCTGTACGATTTAGCTCTGGGCCCTCCGGATTCCAAAGAGGTGTGCTCCACCTGCGCGCAGGATTTCAACAACTGCTCTGGGCACCTGGGCCACATTGAACTCCCGCTTATGGTGTACAACCCTCTCCTCTTCGATGTACGTGCTGCCCTGGCTGTGGGGGTCTCAGGGCTGCTAGTGGAATTTGCAAGCACTGCCTTCTCCCACAGCAATGATCTCAGGAGATTAAGGCACTTAAAGCGTTCTTTAGGATGAGATTTAAAACACTGGGCCAAGGCTGGGTATGATGGTTCACACCTGTATTCCCAGCACTTTGGGAGGCCGAGCTGGGAGGATTGCTTGAGCCCAGGAGGTTGAGGCCAGCGCAGGCAACATGATGAGACCTTATCTCTACAAGAAATAAAAATAATTAGCTGGGCATGGTGGTATGCACCTATAGTCCTAGCTACTTGGGAGGCTGAGGCAGAAGGATCTCCTGAGCCCAGAAGGTCAAGGCTGCGGTGAGCCATGATCACGTCACTGCCCTCTAGCCTGGGTGACAAAATGAGACCCCCCAGTCAGAAAAAAGTTGAACTAAGTACAGTAACTTCACCTTACCCTCTAGGCCTAAATGAATGAATTTTGGTTTGATTTCAGTTGAGAAGAGCCACAGTTTGATTCTTTTCATGTCAGGAGTGGGAGTAGTGTACAGAGTCAACGCTTGCACTTTGTGTTTCAGAGTCTCTGTGCTCTTTGGCAATCTAGGCAGAACCTCCCTGGCAGTAGAGGGAAGTTTAGTGTGCTCACGTCCTCTCTGAGATCTCCAGGTGGATCTATAAGCTCTTGCTTGATGGCAGGAGAAGAGCCCCAGAAAGTCCAACAGTAAGGTCAGAATGAAGCTACCATTAAGTCATGCTTGTACATTTTCAGCTTTTTGTATCAGCTAACCTAGCCTCTAGGATTTTTTTTTTTAAGCTACACAGATAAAGGTGTATGTGGACATGGTTTTTGTCTGCTAATCATTTTTTAAAAAGAGAATCGTCTTAGTTAGATACTTAGAATCAAATAAAGGTGGTTCCCTACCTCAGGCCACATACCCAAAGTAACTTTTAAATCTTCATGGATTAAGATGAAACCATAAAAGAAAACGTAGGGGGATGTTTATCTAGTTCTCAGGGTCAGAAAGGCTTTTCCAAGCAGGTGGGCTGAAGTGGAATTTCTGAGGGAGCAGACTGACCTCAGAAAGGGAGAACTTTTGAGTGCCCTGAAAATCGCTGCAAGTGTCATGTCTCTTTCTCACATCCTGTTTCTTTTTTTCCCCTCACTTCAGAAACTATACCTGCTGCTCCGGGGCTCTTGTTTAAACTGCCACCTGCTGACGTGTCCTCGGGCTGTGATTCACCTCTTAGTCTGCCAGCTGAGGGTTCTGGAAGTCGGGGCCCTACAAGCAGTCTACGAGCTGGAGCGAATTCTGTACAGGGTAGGTGGGAAGTGGTGGTCATGGCAAGGTGGTGGGGACAAGAGCTGCTTCTGTGTCATCCCTAATTGTCATCCCTCATAGTCACCAGAACGCTTGACCTTTCTGTCTTCTAACTGAATTTCAGGAACTAGGTGTGAAAACATGAAGCTGTAAGAATACCTGAAGAAATATTAATGCAGATAACAGTGAATTGCCATTTCATTCATTAATGAGCTTGTTTTTCTGGACCCTACATCCAATTTAGGTTTATGCATTGCTTTTGATTGTTACATACATTGATAGTCTGTTTTAATATAGAAAATTTTAATGTAGAAAATTTTTTTTTGTGATAATTGACTCTCTGAAGACTCGAGGCCAGTTATAAGATTTCTCATATTCTAGATTGTCAATTATTTCATCATTAAGTTCATGTTTTGGCAAAAATGTAACTTATATGATATAAGATACTTTGTATTGCATAATTTTAAGGGCCACATGGTGTCAGTTACCCTGCTGTTGGTAATGCTAAGTTTGTTTACTTACGTTTTATTTGTCTTGGGTTTGTTGTCTTAAGGGTTTGCTTTTTTATGGGCACATGATAATTTTACATATTTACAGAGTACATAGTGATGGGGCAATGCATACAATATCATCAGAGTAATTAGCATACCCATTATTTCTGTCATTTGTCATTTCTTTATGTTTGAAACATTCAGTGTCCTCTAGCTATGTGAAACTCTATGTTATTAACTAAAGTGATCCTACAGTGATCTCGAACACTAGAACTTATTCTTCCTATCTAGTGTTGTATTTGTAATTTTGTATCCTTTAACAAATCTCTCCTTCCTCCACCCTTTCCAGCCTCTGGTATCCTGTTTACTTTTTGCTTATATGAAATCAGCTCTGTTGCAACTTCAACATAAAAATGAGAGAATACCTTGTTTAACTTTCTGTTCCTGGCTTATTTCACTTAGCATAATATCCTCTATTTTCTTTTTTTGAGTCACAGTCTCTGTCCCCCAAACTAGAGTGACACAGCTCTCTACAGCTACAGCTTCCTGGATCAAGTGACCCTTCCATCACAGCCTCCCAAGTAGCTGGGATTACAGATGTGTGCCACCATGCTTGGCTAATTTTTTTTTTCTTTTTTGGACTGAAGTCTTACTCTGTTGCCCAGGCTAGAGTGCAGTGGCACGCTCATGGCCACCTCAGCCTCCACCTCCTGGGCTCAGGCGATCCTTCCACTTCAACCTTCCAAATAACTGGAGCCACGGGCTTATGCCTCCACACCCGGCTAATTTTTTGATTTATTGTAGAGATGAAGTCTCGCCATGTTGCCCAGGCTGGTCTCGAACCTGTGTGCTCAGGCAGTCCTCTCGCCTCCACCTCCCAAAGTGCTAGAATTATAGACCCGAGCCACTGTGCTTGGCTAACTTGTTTTTTAATTTTTGTGAAGATGAGGTCTTGCTGTGTTGCCAAGGCTGGTCTCAAATTTCTGGTTTCAAGTTATCCTCCTGCCTTGGACTCCCAGAGCGCTGGGATTACAGGCCTGAGCCTCCACATTCGGCTGTATCCTCTAGTTTCATCCATTTCGTTGCAGGTGACAGAATTTCATTCTTTTTGATGGCTGTGTAGTGTTCTATTGTGTATATATACTACATTTTCTTGTCCATTCATCTGTTGGTGGGCACTTAGGTTGATTCAGTGTCTTGGCTGTTGTGACGAGTGCCGTAGTGAAGATGGACATGCAGATGTCTCTTTAATATACTGATTTTCTTTCCTTTGGAGAAATGCCCAGTAGTGGAGTTGCTGGATCATGTGGCAGTTCAGTTTGTTTTCCTTTTTTTTCTCCCCCCCCCCACCCCACGCAAACCTTTAATCCAGAATATTTGTGGTTTTTTGAGGAACTTCCATACAGTTCTCCATAGTGGCTATACTGGTTTTTATTCCCACTGACGGTATAAAAGAGTTCTCCGCATCCTCGCCAGCATTTGTGATTTTTTTGTCTGTTTGATAAATAACCATTGTAACTGGGGTGAGATAATACCTCGTTTGTAGTTTTGATTTGCGTTTCCCTGATGGTTGGGGATGTTGATCATTTCTTTGTATATTTGGAGGCTTTTTGTTTGTTTATTTTTCGAGATGAGGTCTCACTCTGTCTCCTGGGCTAGAGTGCAGCGATGCAATCATAGTTCACTGCAGCCTTGAACTCCTGGCCTCAAGAAATCCTCCCAACTCAGCCTCCCGAGTAGCTATGACTATGAGCATGTGTCACCATACCTAATTTTATTATTGTTGTAAAGGTGAGGTCTCCCTACATTGCCCAGGCTACAATGAACTCCCTACATTGAGTTCCTCCTGGGTTCAAGTAATCCTCCTTCCTCAGCCTCCTTAGTAGCTGGGATTGAGGCACAAGCCACCATACCCAGCTCCATTTTTTTATTATATTTGTTGGTCATTTGTATGTTTTTTGTGTGTGAAATGTCTGTTCAGATCATTTGTTCATTTTTTAACCAAATTGCTTGCTTTTTGCTGTTGAGATACTTGAGTTCCTTGTATATTCTTGATACGATCCTCTGTCACATGGAGAGTTTGCAAATATTTTCTTCCATTCTGTACATTGTCTTTTCACTCTGTTGAATATTTCCTTTGCTGTGCACACTTTTTAGCTTGATATTATCCCATTTGTTTATTTTTGCCCTTGTTGCTGGTGCTTTTAAGGTCTTTTCCCTATGTCCTGAAGTGTTTTCCTATGTTTTTCTTCTGTTTTTGAAGTTATTGTTTTTATCATTTCGGGTCTTACATTTAGGTCTTTGATCCATTTTGAGTTGATTTTTGTATAGGGTGAGGGTGGGGGGAGGTCTAGTTTCATCTTCGACATGCAGGTATCCAGTCTTACAGCACCATTTATTGAAGAGACTGCCCTTTCCTCAGTGCATGTTCTTGGCACCTCTGTCAAAAACTGGCTGGCTGTAAGCACATTATTAATTTCTGGGTTCTCTATTCTGTTCCATTGGTCTGTGTGTCTGTTTCTGGAAGTCTAGTAGTGTAATGCCTCCTGCTTTGTTCTTTATGTTCAGGATTGGTTTGTCTATTCAGAGTCTTTTGTTGTTCCATATAAATTTTAGGATTTTTTTTTTCCTATTACTGAAATGTCATTGGTATTTTGATAGTGATTGCATTGAATCTATAGATTGCTTCTGGTAGTATGGTCACGTGACCTCCAATCCATGAACATGGGATGTCTTTCATTTATTTGTGTCCTCTTCAGTTTCTTCCATCAGTGTTTCATAGTTCTCCTCTTAGAGGTCTTTCGCTTCCTTGGCTAAATTTATTCCTAGGTATTTTATTTTTGTGTAGCTATTGCAAGTGGGATTGTCTTCTTGATTTCTTTTTCAGCTAGCTCATTTTGTATAGAAATGCTACCGATTTTTGTATGTTGATTTGGTATTCTGCAACTTTACTGAATTTATCAGTTCTAAGAGTCTTTTGGTAAAGTTTTGAGGTTTTTCTATATGTAAGATTGTATCATCTGCAAACAGGGGCAATTTGACTCCTCCTTTCCAATTTGGATGCCCTGTATTTCTTTCTCTTGCCTGTTTGCACTGGCTGATTACTTTTAAGTGAGGTGATGATCCATTGCCAGGTATCTCTATTGCAAAGAGATACTTTTGTTTTGTTTTATTTTTTGTAATTAGTATTTATTTTAGGTTTCTAATGCTATTTTGAATTTCATTTTCTATTTCTTGATATGTCAAAATATTACTGATTTTTTTTACATAAAGCAGTCTAGTAAATTTGTCTCATCAATTCTGATCATGAGACCACCACCACCAGGCCAGGCATGGTAGCTCACGCCTATAATCCCAGCATTCTGGGAGGCCAAGGTGAGAGGATTACCTGAGCCCGTGGATTCGAAACCAGCCTGGGCAAATTGATGACACCTTATCTCTACAATGAATCAAAATTTAGCTGGGCGCGGTGGTGGGTGCCTGTCACTCCAGCTACTTTGGAGGCTGAGGTGGAAGGATCGCCTGAATCCAGCAGGTCGAGGCTACGGTGGCCATGAGTGTGCCACTGCACTCCAGCCTGGGTGACAGAGTGAGACTCTGACTCAAAAAAAAAAAAAAAAAATTCTGATATTTTATCTGTAGATAGTTTGAGATTTTAAATACAATCATGTCATCTACAACTCTTGGCAGTTTTGTTCTTCTGCAGCTCGTTACATATTTTGTTTCTTTTGCCTATGTTATTTTGGTGACTAGCCTCTACATTACTGTGTCAAAGTGGTAGTGGGCATCTTTGTCTTATTTCTTGTCACAAAAAGAAGCTAGTCCTTTTTCCCTGTCCCTTCCCCCTTTCTGAGCACTTCAGTCCTAAAGACATAGGCAAAGCAAGGTGGGATTCCACACAGAGACCTGGCCCAGTGCGGGGTGTCTGAACCCCAGTAGGGTAAGGAGAGCATCAGTGGAGAGGGTGTCCCAGCACGGGGTTTAGCCTGAGCAGAGTGAGACAGGATCCCTACATGTGTCCTTAGAAATCCTCTCTCCTTCCCCTCTCCGCTTGTGAACTTGTTTTTGACAGCTTGTCTGTCACTGTCCTTTAAAAATCCTTGATGGGAATAATTGGAGAGTTAGGATTATGTGCCTTCCTCCAGAGGGGAGTTTCATTGTTTCTGCCACATGCTTGTTGTCACTTCCACCCCGGGACCATAATAGTTCAGGTTCAAAGCTTAAAGCTTCTGGACTGCCTGAGTGATGGTACGAGGGCTGGTAGTTCATGAGGGAGTAGCCCTTGGGGATTCCCTGCTCTCCATGTTTGTGTTTTGGGGTTGGAGAGTGCTGGCTTTCTGTTAGATTCCTGTCCTTGCACTAGTTTTAGACCTTGAGTTCTGTCTTCTACACCACTCGTGGGCTTCAAAATAAAAAGTTCAAGATTGCTGAATTGGCAGGTGCACTCAAGGCCGGGGCTGCCATGTCTCTGAGCTCCAGGGGGCACCATGGGCATCTGTCTCAGTGTCTTTCCCAGGGGCACTCAGGACACTGAGTGGCACCCTGAAGCTGCCACCCCACAGCCCTGCATCAGTGCAGGTGGTGCCTGTGTGCTCTTTGACCTCTCTAGATTTCGATTTCCATTTGTTTGGCTTGGTTATTCTGCACTGTCCCGTCAGTTCTCAAGCCATCAAGATTTTGAAATATTTTAACCTGTCTTGGTTCTTTGCAGTCTTAGGTTTGGTCTGAAGAATCTAGCCCACCATTATTGGAAGCAGGATATTCTCTCGTTTGATTTTTTAAAAAATTTTTGTTTGTTTTTGTTTTTTTGAGACAGGGTCTAGCTTGTTGTCCAGGCTGGAGTGCAGTGGTGTGCTCATGGCTCACTGCAGCCTTGACCTCCTTGTTCTCAGGCAGTTCTCCCACCTCAGCCTTCCGAGTGAGTAGCTGGGACTACAGGCACGTGCCATTCCACCCAGCTAATTTTTAATTTTTTTGTAAAATTGGGGTCTTGCTGTGTTTGCCCAGGCTGGTCTTGAACATCGGGGTTCAAGCTATCCTCCTGCCTCAGCCTCCCAAAGTGCTAGGATTATAGGCATGGACCACTGTGCCTAGCTTGTTTGATTTTTTTTTTTTTTTTAACAGTAGCGTTGCCTCACTGTTTTGAAAATGCAACACAGTGGCATGGTTTCTCTTTCACCTCTCAAACCAACATCTTTCACCCTGGCCCCAGCTATGCTGCTTATCAGATGTATGCCATAATATGGTTTTTCTGTTTTGTTTTTTCAGTTTCTGAGAGAAAATCCTGATTCTTCTGCCTCTGAAATTCAGGAGGAGCTGGAGCAATACACAGCTAAGACTGTACACAACAACCTCCTGGGTTCCCAGGGTGCTCATGTGAGTCACTATTTTCTCTCTCCTGTAATGCTGTCTTCAGGTAGTTAGCACAGTTGTATTTGCATATCCTTTTGACTTCCCAAGGTCGACCTGGGGTTGAGTCCCAACTCTGCCTCTTTCGAGGCCTGTGACCTCGCAGATCACACAGGTGTCCCCAGGTGTCCGTTTCTTGTCTTTCGTGCCTGCCCGCAGGACAAGTGAGAGGGCTGGGTGACGTTCAGGGGCGTACATGTAGCCTTCACCCTGGGGGTGGCACCATGTCCTTTTCTTTCTCTCTCCAACACTCTCTAAACTACTGTTATCCCGTCTCCCTTCCATGACACTGTGTAAGTATTCATTTGTTCACTGAATGAGTGAATAGGGTCGATAATCAACCCATAGTATAAGTCTTGAGCTCTGATTCACCCATGCCCAGGTTTCCAACCAGAGATTCTGATTTAATTGGTCTGAGGGAGGGCCTAAGTGGCGGTTACCTTGGATTGTAGACATGCCTTCCTCAGAACCCTGAGGCCCATCTGAGGGAGGCCAGCTGCATCCAGAGAAATTTGCTTTATGTATTTATATTTATTTTGAGTCAGAGTCTCTCTCTGTTGTCCAGACTAGAGTGCAGTCACACAATCTCAGCTCACCATAGCCTCGACCTCCTGGGCTCAGGTGATTCTTCTGCCTCAGCCTCCTTAATAACTAGGATTACAGGCACATACCACCATACCCAGCTATTTTTTAAATTTTTTTGTGGCTACGTTACATTGTCCAGGCTGGTCTCAAACTCCTGGGCTCAAGTGATCTTCCCACCTCAACCTCCCAAAGTCTTGGGATTACAGGCGAAAGCCATCATGTCCAGCCAGAAATTTGTTGCAAAAAATTGAAATAACTAGTATTTATTGAGTATGTCTGCATTCCAAGCTCCCTGCTGCCTCCATAATCTCTTTATCTTAGTTATCTTAGTGATGGTTACTATTCTTATTTCCTTTTTACGCATGTTAGGCTTAAAGAGGTCACTCAGCAGTTGGCAGAGCTTGGCTATATTAGGGTTCTGTGGAGGATTTTGTTTAAGAAAGTGAGGGGAGGAAGTGTTCCCTGTGGTTAAAAATAAAAGATGCAAACCACAAAGCAACTACATATTGGATTCTCTTCAAAATGGCACTCCAATCTTCTCTGGCTTTCTTTAACAGGTGAAAAATGTGTGTGAGAGCAAAAGCAAGCTCGTTGCTTACTTCTGGAAGGCACATATGACGGCCAAGCGCTGTCCCCACTGCAGGTAAGTATGAGGGTGTGTGCCTTTCCCTTCCCCCAAGCGAGACAGGTCTCTGATCAGTCTCTCGGCGCTACTGTCAAGTGTCTTCTTAGGTTTGTTGTCTCTCCTCAATCACGACTGTCCTATGTAGGACTGGGCGCTCAGTTGTCCGCAAAGAGCACAACAGCAAGTTGACGATCACGTTTCCAGCCCTGGTGCACAGGAAAGCTGTCCAGAAGGATCCAGAACTGCAGGGTAAGCAGACTGGGTCCTTGGAAGTGCTCCCGGGCCGTGTTTCTAAAGTGTGGCAGTCAGGTGTGTCCCAAACCTTGGGATTCCTGGTCCCCTTCACCACATGTTTCTCAGCTCAGTGTTTGGGATGGGCCAGCGGAGGGGCAGTGTCCAGGCCTCTTAGGGCTGGGGACTCCGGCTAGGTGCCCAGCCCAGGCCTCTCACACAGGAGAACCGATGGGCAGGGCTGCTTTAAGAGGTAGTACCCCTGGCTGGGCATGGTGGCTCATGCCTGTAATCCCAGCACTTTGGGAGGCTGAGGCGAGAGGATTGCCCGAGCCCAGGGATTTGAGATCAGCCCGTACAACATGGCAAGACCCTATCTCTACAATAAATCAAAAAATTAGCCAGATGTGGTGGTGTGTACCTGTAGTCCCAAGTACCTGGAAGGCTAAGGCAGGAGGGTTGCTTGAGCCCAGGAGTTCAAGACCACCCTGGGCAACAGAGTGAGACCTCGTCTCTACAAAAATATCAAAACATTAACTGGGTGTGGTGGCATGTACCTGTAAATCCCAGCTACTTGGGAGACTGAGACAGAAGGGTCACATGAACCCAGGAGGTCGAGGCTGCAGTGAGCTGTGATTGTGCCCCTGCACTCCAGCCTGGGCGACAGAGTGACACTCTAACTCAAGAATAAAGAGGGGGAAGGTTCCTCTTGCCTCAAGTGGTCATTTTTCTGAAAGATTTTTCAGGAAAAAATGAGATGTATATGGCAAATATTTTATTGTAAAACAAGTGTGGATTTATTTTTGAATAAAATGTAGGTGAATGAATGCCGAGAAAAACTGCAAGAATTCAATAATATGATAGCACCTCCTGCAGGTGTTCCTGGCTGTGCACCCAGATTCCCAACGGTAGTTTTCCTTACCTCTACGCCACCCTTAGGGATACTTGGGAAAATTTCTGAGAGCCTGACTTAGTCCTCCCACTTTTCAATTTCTTGTGTAAACATATTTTTTGGTTTATTTTTCTGAAGGGGTGGAGATTACGATACTCTGTATGAAGTACTGAGACACCAGTATCTGCTATGTAGTGTGTACTCTATCGATGTTCATTTTTTATTATGTCTTCACTGCGTCGGCATAGAGAAAAAGGCACAACCTGCAGTCACACTTGACTCTGCTACTTATTCTGAGTGGCTTCGAGAAGGCTACTTTCTGGAGTCTCAGTTTCCAACTCTGTATGTGGCAAAAATATAGCCTCTTGCCTAGAGCTAAGGAAATTGCATGCTTGAAAGTCTATAGCAGATAATGTTACTCAACCTTTTTCCAGGGCTTGAGAATATGGACTAGGCAGGAAAATAAGTCCCGCTCCTGGAGATGTAGGGTGTGTCTTTTTACAGTGAAGACGCTGGCAAGGCCTGGAGTAAATTAAAAAATATGATGATGATGATTGTTTTACTATTATTATTGTTATTGTTATTATTATTATTATTATTATTATTATTTTTGATTTGGATTCTCACTCTGTTGCCCAGACTGGAGTGCCTAGAGTGCAGTGACACGCTCCTGGCCACCACAGGATCTGCTGGGCTCCGGCAATCCTTCCACCTCAGCCTTCCACGTAGCTGGAACTACAGGCGTGTGCTACCACGCCCGGCTAATTTTTTTATTTATTGTAGAGATGAGGTCTCGCCAAGTTGCCCAGGCGGGTATTGAACCCACGGGCTCAGGCAATCCACTCACATCAGCCTCCCAAAGCGCAGGATTACAGGCTGAGCCACCGAGCCCGGCTTATTATTATCATTACTGAGACAAGGTCTCTCTGTCACCCAGACTGGAGTGCAGTGGCACAATCATAGCTCTCTATAACCTCAAACTCCCGCGCTCAAGTGATCTATTTGCCTCATCCTCCTGATTAGCTAGGATTCTAGACATGCACCACCATGGTCAACTAATTTTTAAAATTTTTTGCAGATACAGGATCTTGCTGTGTTTTTCCAGGCTGGTCTCAAACTCCTGGCTTCAGGCAGTCCTCCTGCCTCAGCCTCCCAAAGTGTTGGGATTATAGGTGTGAACCACCACGCCTGGCCCTGCTTATTTTTTTTTAATAAACCTTTTATTTTAGAATAATCTTAGACTTAAAGAACAGTAGCAAACATAATATGAAGAGTTCCCTTTGACTGTTTACTCAGTCTGTCCTAATGTAACATCCTAGATGATTATGGTGCATTTATCAAAACTGAGAGTTTAAAGTTGGTAAAACACTCGTCACTAAACCATTGACTTTATTTTAATTTGAATTTTTTTCAGTAATTTCTTTTTGATGTTCCAGGATTCAGTCCAGGATACCATGTTGCATTTAGAAAGCCTGTTTAGTTTTGTGTGATGGTTAACAGTTAACACCACAAGCGTGGTTTCCTTATACTTATTTATTAAATAGCTCTTAAAACAACTGTCTCTTAATATCAGTTGGGAATTGTAGCCCTTAGGATGCCTTGCATAGTGTTCACAGACTGAGGGCAAAGATGGCCAGAATTCTAGAAGATCATTTTCTATGGGACCTCTCAAACCCATTCTTACGAAGTAATTCAAACCCCTCCCAAACCCATTCTTACGAAGTAATTTTTCACTGTAGCCACAAGCATACAATGGTGCAACTAAAGTTCTGCATTAGAAACAGGTGGACAGTTGTCTTCCAAGGCTCCAGGACAGGTTTTTTTGTATTTAGCACACATTTATGTGTTGGGTGCTCAGAATCATGCCATGGGCTGTGTTTGTGGGCAAGCATGTTGTGAGACCAGACCATGTGGCCTCTGCTCTCGCAGGGGCTGTAGGTGACACAGATCAGTAACTCCCAGGAGCAGGTGATGTGGAGGCAGGTGAACCTCTCTCAGCATAGGTCTGGCCACGTGCCTGGTGCCGGAGGGATCCGAGAAGTGAGGCCTGCTGCTGCCTAAACAGCCCCCACGGGACAACCTGGTGATCCCATGATGTGTGCTGTCAGTTTGTGAAATGCAGCTTTTGAGCCCACGGGCACATCAGTGTGTAAAGTGAGAATTCTTTGTTAAAGTCTCACTCTGTCGCCCAGACTGGAGTGCAGTAGCCGCTCCCGGCCACAGCAGCCTCGACCTGCTGGGCTCTGGCGATCCTTCCGCCTCAGCCTTCCAAGTAGCCGGAATTACAAGCGCGCACTACCACGCCCGGCTAATTTTTTTTTTATTTATTGTAGAGATGAGGTCTCGCCTGCCCAGGTGGGTCTCGAACCCACGGGCTCAGGCAATCCACTCACCTCAGCCTCCCAAAGGCACGGGATTACAGGCTGAGAATTCTTATAGCCACTTCCAGCCAGTGTGATCCAGCTCTCCCAGCTTATTGGACCTCTGAACCCCTTTGTCACATGGCAGCACTTAGAGCTGAGAGAAACACATTCATGACGTTCCAAAAGCCCAGCTAGCTGGATTTCACCGCAGAAGTGTCTGACTAGGAGAGAATGCGGCCCACGTGAGAGGGTGGCCTCCTGCAGGTTTCTTCTGATTCTAAGATCCCATAATTGAACAGCCTCTGCCTGCCTTCATGGTCACTGAGCTATGATGTGGGGACTGCTGGGACAGGAGCTGGGGAGAATTACTCTATCTTCCTGAGCCCTTCAGACTTGCTGAGAGGAAGTTTAGATACTTATTTCCAGAAACGCCCACACAATTATTTAGGTTAATGGGGTCTTTTTCTTTTTTTTTTGACCCACCAAGCATGCATAGCTTTCTAATGCTGTGGCTGTCCCTGAAGGTCAAAGCCATTCTTGAATTGCATTAACTCATTGAAATGTTTTGCTTTTGTAGGTATTAAAACTTAAAATATGCAGGCTCCTTGACCTTGCAGTTTTTCTTCTACAGCTTTATCCTAAGGAATTAGAATGCCCACGGTATTGTTTAGAGAGTTTAAAATTGGACATGGTTTAAGTACCTATTAATAGAGACTGTTAAATAAATTATGGTGCATCTGATGTTATCCAAGTCAGAAGTTTCTCTAAAAACATGTGGTGACAAAATCTCTGCAAATTATAAAGAAACTAGTTGAAGAATTAGAGATGAAGAATGAAGCTAGATTTCAGAAGTATAAAAAAAGGCAAAAGAGTAGAATTTCAAAGAATAGATTATCTTGGGATATTTTGAACATGTCTATCTGAGTAATTGACAGTTTAGCATTGTCTGTGTGCTAACACTGTGTCAGGTATTAGGACACAGACAAGGCATCATCCCTGCCCTGGTAAGTATGTAAAAAAGAAGGTTGGGCTATGTTAATTTCAGTGGATGTAACCCAGAAAAGATGGATAGTTTTGAACCTAGAGGAAACGTTGCTTAATTGTCTTTGTCATTGTCATCACAATGCCTAGAGCCCTACCTTTTGAATTGGCAGCCCCCGGTCTAGTTTCTAACTTACTTTTGGTATAGTTGGTAGACACTATCCACGAGTTAACCAGGGTCAATCTGCTTCTCCATACCAGTATGATATCTGTAAAAAGAAAACCAATATGTATTTACCCGTAAAAATGTTCACATTAATTTGTCTTTAACTCTACTTTTGTGAACCTTTTTATAAAAACCATGTGCATAAAGATACCTATCTTTTTTAGAGTGACAGAGTCTCACTCTGTTGCCCTGGCTGGAGTAAAGTGGCACGCTTACGGCCACCGCAGCCTTGACCTGCTGGGCTTAGGTGATCCTTCTGCCACAGCCTCCTAATTAGGTGGAACTACAGGTACATGCCACCATGCCCAGCTAATTTTTTTGATTCGTTGTAGAGATGAGGTCTCACCAAGTTGCCCAGACAGGTCTCAAACCCCTGGACTCTGGCAATCCTCTCATCTGCGCCTCCCAAAGTGCTGGGATTACAGGTGTGAACCACTGTGCCCGGCTAGGGTACTTATCTTGAGGTTACTTTATAATAGCAAAAAATTGGAATCAATCCAAATGTCCAGCTATGAGAGTATGATTAAGTAAATTAGGGAATATCCTTAATGGAATATCATGTGGCCACTAAAAATGGTAATCATGCAAAAGGTATGTAGCATTGTGGAAATCCTCACAAGATGACACTAAGTAGTAAGTAGTACACAAAATCAATCCATACTTAAGATGACAGTTATCTAAAACACTTGCATAAACCAAAGATCTAGAAGAGAGTCTATAAAAGTAATACTTACGTTAATGTGATAGGTGGATGATGTTTTCTTTTGTTTGTTTTTTTAGGTTTTATCCAATAATAGTTGTATTGTTTTTATCGCTTTAGAAATTAGATGACGGGTAGGGACAGGAATCTGGGCTTGAGAATATGCTGCCCCAAAGGTGGTTTTTGTGATCAAGTTGCAGGGCAGGGACAAATAATTGATGAATCCCAATGCAGGGAGCAGGACCTGTTACTGATTGGTTGTGCTTTGATCTCCCCTCCTCAGCTCCAGAAATTGAAGAAGCTCAGATGGGAAAACGAGGGTACCTGACACCCACCAGTGCCCGTGAACATCTTTTTGCCATTTGGAAGAATGAAGGTGCTGTACCAAGCTAAAGAAATAGCCTTTATCTTTTCCAGGCCTTAATTTCCTAAACTCACTAACCCTGCTTTATTGCTTTTATTTTTTTTTAAAGTTGTGATTATTGTAACTCTCTGCTGAAACTGATCCAAAGGCTTGGGGCAGGCTTCTGGGTATATTGACATTGAGGCATCATAGAGTAAGGGGGTCATACCCAGCACCAAAAATTTGCCAATTGTAACTGAGCCTGGTCATCAAATGACAGCTACCAGTAGACCTTGCTTAATATAGGTGGGCATATTTTTAGAGGGTTCAGTGTAACTCACCTTATTTTAAATGCTCATAAATAAAATACCTTTTAAAGGTTTTTTGTGAGAATTCCTTTTGTGAATCAAAGATTGAGCTCTGTCTTTTTTAAAAATTAGGACTTTTAAACTTTTCAGTTCCCTACTAAAAGGGAATTCCTCCGTTTCCTTTTTGAGAGTATAATAAAGCCCATGCAGTATATTATTCAAGCCCTGGTGTCATCTGCCCTCTGAGTGTATGCTCTGAAATGCTGACTGTAATCTCTGTGTAATAAGCACTTATTAATGAGCATGTTGTCAAAGGGATATCAGGAAAAAAATAGCGCATTCCATTTAGAATGATTGTTTATGTAGCAGGTCCTATCACATTTATTTTCTCTGAGCATTTTTTTTTCTTTTTGAGTCGGGGTCTCATTCTGTCACCTAAACTGGAGTGGAGTGACATGAACATGGCTCACCCCAGCCTCTGCCTCCTGGGCTCAAGCAATCCTCCTGCCTCAGCCTCCCAAGTAGCTAGGACTAAAAGTACACGCCACCACACACGCCTGACCAATTTTTTACTTTTTGTAGAGGTGAGGTCTTGCTATGTTGCCTAGGCTAGTCTTAAACTCCTGGACTCAAGCAAGCCTCCCAAAGTGCTGGGATCACAGGCATGAGCCACCACACCCAACCCTCTCAAGATTTTTTAAGTCACCACAGAAACTTGAAATATAGCTTTGATCCACAGAAGACCCCTTCTTGGCAGCACCCACTGGGGAGAGGGAAATTGTGTTTTAAGGAGGCTGACTTTTTTTCTTGTGTATTAATTCTTTTCTTTATTTCAGTCTGTTTTCTTTAAATACCAAAGTATTGCATACTTGATCTTGTGTGTGTGTGTGTGTGTGTGTGTGTGTGTGTGTGTGTTTGAAGTTTAATAGTCCAAAAAGGTAATTATAAATAAGTGAAAGTTTTTTTTTTTCCCTGTCCCTGCTCATCTCAGTCTTTGGGTTCAGCCTGTAGGGTCTCTCATGCATGCAAGGGGCTACTGAAAATTTGTTTTTATAGAGAACAATGTGGTCTTACTCAATATATTATCCTGTATTCTGTTTCTTTGTCACTTGGTGATATTGTCCTCCCATGCCCTCATTGATAGATTTGAATGATCTCTTTGGTTTATTTCAAACCCAGGATTCTTTCTGAATTACCTTTTTTCGGGACTGGATGATGTTGGCATGGAATCCAAATTCAATCCCAGTATGTTCTTCCTTGATTTCCTGGTGGTGCCACCCTCAAGGTAACTCCGTTTAGTTGTTTCACCTGACATACACAATGGAATATTATGCAGCCATAAAGGACAAACTTATGGACTTCATAGCAACTTGGATGGATTTGGAGTCGATCATACTCAGTGATCTATCACAGAAACAAAGAACAGAATACCATATGTTCTCACTCATAAGTGGACCTTGAACAATTATCATAATACTATAAGAAAGTGTTTGGCAGTAATGGGAAACTGTCGAAGGGGGGTGAGATTGGCAGTTGAGGGAAACTGCTAGGGGAGGGAGGGGCATACCTCACCAACAAGGGGACCTGCATAATCAATGTTTATATACCTAACCCTGAATTGTACCCCACATCTTTAAATACATTTTTAAAAAATTGTTTCACCTGAGAAAAGTTTATTGAGGAGCTGAAGGATGACCTATGGCAGAGGTGCAGTAGTGGGCATGCTTTCCTCTCTTCCTGTTGTGTGATCGGGAGATGAGGTGTTTTGAGCATGGTGGGGCAGTGTGTCACCTGCAATAGGCACGGATGAGAGGCCGAAAGACACAGCCCTTCCCTCATGCTGTACATTCTTGGATTCCCCGTGTCCCTCTGCAGATATCGCCCTGTCAGCCGCCTGGGAGACCAGATGTTTACCAACGGCCAGACAGTGAACTTGCAGGCCGTCATGAAGGACATAGTTCTGATCCGAAAGCTTCTGGCATTGATGGCCCAAGAACAGAAGCTGCCATCGGAGATGGCAATGCCTGCCACCGACAAGGTCAGGGCTGCCCTGGAGCTGATGGCATAAGCACACACGCTTAGGTCTAACTCCATACGATGTGGACACAGACACTGGATGCCAAGAGATGCTGACTGGGGTGCGCTGTACAGCTGGAAGCACCCTCACTGGGAGCTGTGGGTTTAGGGGACACCAGGTCGCTGAGATGCTTCCCAGCTCTGAAATGCTCTCTGGGTACAAACAGAGCTGTCTCCAACCTTGGGTTGACAGCAGGGCTCTGACTCCCAGTGACTGGGACCGTCCCAAGGTCAGCCAAGCCCGGCACAAGGTGGCGCTACAGTCTCCTGGACACTTGTGCTCTGGGCTACCCAGTGTTTCTCCTTGGAGCTTTCTCTGGTTTTACTGAAGGTTTCTGGCGGGACAGCATGGGGTGCTGTTAAAACTTTCCAGTGCAGGACAAATCCATCTGCGTGCCTTAGTCTGGTTTAGGAGGCAATGCCATAGATAGCCACATCCAGTGACCAGGATATTTTTTTCTTGTCCCTTAAAAATAGGGCATTCTTTTGGTCAAACAAAAGCTTGTTGTCTGCAGGACCAAGCAGTATCCTCTCTGATTCTTGGGTCCCAGTGCCCTCCTGCTCTCTGATGGTGACGTGCATCTTCTTGTTTCTTCCCCCTTGTTCCCGTGTTCCATTTCCATGGCAGCCTTTGCAGGTGCTGTCTAGACTCTAGGGATACCAGTGAGCCAGTGAGACATGGCCTCGCTCCTTTCACAAGTAATCACGTGGCCCTAAGCCAGGTAACGCCATGTGCAGTCAGGCAGGCAGACAGGACCCCTGTCAGCATGCAGGTTACTGTCTCTCTGTAAATCTCCTTCAACCAGAAGGACCTTGAACATTTTGTGCAGAAATGCCTCTGTTCTCTCCATAACTAAAGACTCCTGTGTTCCTCGGGATTGAGGACAAATCCACTTCATCACAATTGAGTTTTCATGATGTTATTTACTAGATCTCCACCCATCCTCACTGACTGGGAGGATGAGGGACCATCTGTCCAGCTCCTTGTGTCCTACCTAGCCAGATGGCACCAATAGCTGGCCAGACAGTGTCAGGAGGTGGTGCTCTAAGGCCGCATAAAGCCTCTGTACTTCTGTCCCCTGGGTATCGAGGGGAAGAAGAAGGGAGTCAGAGCTGGGGCAGAAATATTAAAAAGGATTAATATCCTAGTAAGCCTTGACGATCAGCCAGCAACTTGACACAGCCCAGTTGTCTTATTGATGACCTAGAATACTGTATGCCAAAAATGTTTCCATTTAAGGAATTGTTCCACCTGCATTTTTTTTATTTTTGAGTTGGAGTCTCACTCTGTCGCCCAGACTGGAGTGCAGTGGCCGCTCCCGGCCACCGCAGCCTCGACCTGCTGGGCTCCAGCGATCCTTCCACCTCAGCCTTCCAAGTAGCTGGAACTACAGGTGCGCGCTACCACACCCGGCTGATTTTTGATTTATTGTAGAGATGAGGTCTCGCCAAGTTGCCTAGGCGGGTCTCGAACCCGCAGGCTCAAGCAATCCACTCACCTCAGCCTCCCAAGGCACGGGATTACAGGCTGAGCCACCGAGCCTGGCGCCACCTGCATTTTTATAAGCACTTTGCATCAAGTTTTTCCAAAACCATAAATAAAGCTGAAATTGCATATACGCATTGGTTATCATGGCAAAGCTTTACAAGAAATGTACTGAGGCGGAAAGGACTTCTAAGGTTGCCACAGGAACTGGATATTAAGGGATTTCAGCAAGTACCTTAAGAGAGGAGCCTGCTTATAAATTTTGAATTCATTTTACTATTAGAAAGAGACAGGCTGGTACATATGTAATGGGGTGATGTTTTATTTATATGTGTTTACAAGATTTATATATTAACACTTGTCTTTGATCTGTCGGGATCAGAGGACGTAAAGGCACATTCCAGAGTTCACTGGTATCAGAGCTAGGGGGAGAAAGAAAAATTAAACCAAGGCAGGCCTTTGCCATCATACCTATTTTCTTCCTTGTGTCTTCCAGGAAAAAGACTCTTCAATTGCTATTGACCGGTCCTTTTTAAGTACACTTCCAGGCCAGTCCTTCACAGACAAACTTTACAACATTTGGATTCGCCTTCAGAGCCACGTCAATATCGTGTTTGATAGCGAGATGGACAAACTGATGATGGACAAGTACCCAGGCATTAGGCAGGTAAGCAGTTAGCTGGACTCCCCTTGCTGACTGAATAATAAGCCTGCATGTATCGAAGTAAGAAACTAGCAAGCATTCTTGAGTTGTCTTTTTTTAAATGTTTTCTGTGGCTTTTTTCCTTCACAAAGATCCTGGAGAAGAAGGAAGGCTTGTTCCGGAAGCACATGATGGGAAAACGAGTGGACTACGCAGCCCGCTCTGTCATCTGCCCCGACATGTACATCAGCACCAATGAAATTGGGGTCCCCATGGTGTGTGTTGGGGGGTGGTAGATCCGCATGCCATAGAGGACTGGGGCAAGGCGTGTGGCAGAGGGGCCCCCAGAGAGGAGACCTGTGCTCGTCGTCCACCCCGCTCTCCGTTCCTCCTGGGGGCACACAGCCAGCCCGTCCAGCCATTAGCATGCCTTCTGGGAGCCAGCTTTATTTTCTCACTTCCTCACCAGTTCACTCAGCTGTGCTTATTAGTGGCAACCCTTTAATTGGCCTCCTCCATAATGGGCCTTGAGGTCAGTAATGTAAGGATGGTTTAATCCCCTCCTGGGGATTCATTTCCTCACATACCATCCCCCACCTCCCGGAGTGCTGGGCGTGAGCAAGAACCAGAGTGTTCTGATTGTCCTGCATGCCTGTGGTCTCATCACTCTCGGGCACGTGGGTTTCCTGGGCAAAGGCATGACATGTCAAGGTACAAGCATCAGAATGTTCAGTCCTGTGCCCACTGCCTTCCGGAGCCATATTCTGCCTCCAAAAACTGCATTAGGTGGCACAGGAATGACTTCGTGAAGCCTGCTGGTGACATTCCTGAATCTGAAACCCCAAGGAGAGGCCCCCTGTTCATTTCCCTCTCTGACAGAGGGTAGGGGCCACGCCTGTTGGCTTTGACCTCTCAGTGCCCAGAGAGCCCCGGCTTTGAGAAAGACCTTTTGTGCTGCCTCTTTTTTCTACCCTTCTTGGGTATTAGACTTTTCTTGGATCTGGGTCCGTTGATAACAGCTTGTCCCTAGAGGAGAGATTCTGAAGTCACCCTTCTGCCAGCCTTCAAACTACTCCAGATCTCCAGGCTATGGTGGACTGGGGAGTGGGTAGAGCTGGGAAAGAGAGTGGGTAGACATGCCTCTGGAGCATACTTTTGGACAGACCAGCTGTGAGTCCCCAGGAGAAAAAGGGAGTGGGGTGAACAATGAGCTAGAGACCCAGTAGTGATGCACACAGACTAGCTTGCTCCCTTGTGGAGTGGGGTGAACAATGAGCTAGAGACCCAGTAGTGATGCACACAGACTAGCGTGCTCCCTTGTAAGTGATATGTCAAGGGTGGAGATAAACAGGGAACAGATGAATACATGCCTAACCGCCATTAGGCAGTGGACAGTGTCTCAGCAACAGGAGAGCAGGCTCGGGCTGGGGAGCACTGGGGCAGAGGCCTCAGAAAGTGCCAGTACACAGAGACCTGGACAGAGTTAGACACGTGCCTTTATGTCAGACTTGTCAGGTCTTTGGTGTATCTGTGCATTTTGAAGCATCAAAGGGGTTATAATGCTCAGTAGGTCAGAAACTCCCTTATCTAGGGAACTCGTTTTTCTTGGAGCATGTCACAGGCCTAGCATTAAACAGTGCATGTGGTTTCTCACATATCAGAGGAGCCCATCAATTTCTTCTCAAGCACGATCTTGATCATAGTGGCTGTTGGAACTGGTAAGAGATTCTGGTGCCATGTCTGGGCTGGGGGAAAGTGCCACAATCAATTCATGATGTCCGCTGGGGCACAGGAAGATGCGGTGGTGTTTGAGGACAGGTATCACCACCTGTCCCAAATGAGTGCCCCCTGTCTTCTTTGGGGATTGAATTTATTGGTAGATAAGGAAATGCAGTGTTAGAGTGAGTTAAAAAAAGAAAAAGCCTAGTGTTATCCTTGTCAGCCTGTCTATGCTGATCTCTGTGCCCTTAAGGGAGAGAGTCTGGCAAAATGGCTCTGTGCGGAAGAAAGGCAGGACATTGCTTTACTCACCGAAGGGCCTTCTTGGCTAAGTCAGTCAGCTTCTTCACATTTTGGGGGAAAGTCGCATAGCCTTTGGAGGCAGACTTTGGGTCCACAAGCCCATTTTTTTCTGCCTACCCTGAATTTCTCCACCTGCCACTCGTTTCTAGGTATTTGCCACTAAACTGACCTACCCGCAGCCAGTTACACCCTGGAACGTTCAGGAACTGAGACAAGCCGTCATCAACGGCCCCAACGTGCACCCAGGAGCCTCCATGGTCATCAATGAGGATGGCAGCCGCACAGCTCTGAGTGCCATGGACGTAACCCAGCGAGAAGCCGTGGCCAAGCAGCTCCTGACACCAGCCATGGGTGCACCTAAGCCCCAGGGGACAAAAATTGTGAGTATTGGGCAGGTTTGTTCAGGACCCGGCCAGCTCCTGCCTGGCTCCCCCATGACCAGCTGTCAGCTGTGGATCCAGTGAGTGTAGCACAGGGGCACCCCCCCAAGAGGAAACTCCTTCACATGTGGGTATCCTTTAGGTGCTGCATGGGCTCGCTATGTCTCCCAGCTGGAGGCCACACTGCTAGGGCATGGACACCATGCTTAAAGCTGCATTTGGCCTTCACGTTCCATGCCATACAGCACAGTGTTGGGCACCCATCAGGTGCTCGAGAAATGCTCTTAGCTAAATCATTTGTGGTCCCGGGGCAGGAGAATTGGTGGTCTTTGAACAGGGATACTCACAGGGCAGTTCTCAGATAAGCAGCAGCATCCCTGGGGTCGTGAGAAATGCAAGCCCCAGTCCCACCCCATCATCCCTTCTGAATGAGATTCTCTGCGTATAGGGCTTGGCAGTCTCGCAACATTTTCTCCAGAAGGTTCTTCTGCATGCTGCAGTTTGAGAACCACTCTTTTTTTTTTCAAGTCGAAACCTCACTCTGTTGCCCAGGCTGGAGTGCAGTGGCACACTCACAGCCACTGCAGCCTTGACTTCAGCCACTGCAGTCCTTCTGCCTTAGTCTTCCAAGTAGCTGGAACTACAGGTATGTACCACCACACCCAGCTAATTTTCTTGGTTTCTTGTAGAGACGAGGTCTTGCCAAGTTGTCCAGGCTGATCTCAAGCCCCTGGGCTCAGAGGTAGTCCTCTTGCCTCGGCCTCCCAGAATGCTGGGATTACAGGCGTGAGCCACCACACCCAGCCTGAGGACCACTCTTAGGAACGAAATGCTCTGTGCCAGTGATAACTGACAGCTGACAGGTTTTAGCTAATGCTTCCATTTGAGGCAGTTGAGAATGCCCGCCCTCCGTGCTGCATTAAGGGATCCTGAAGTTCTATCTGGGTTCCTCTGGAAAGAGCACATAATCAATTGGCTTGAGCTAATCATGTCGCCAAGGGCATGAGAGTTATGTCAAATAATAGCCATCTCTTGGGAGGCGTGTGGCAGTTGACCACTAACTAGGCAATAGTGGCAGTTGTTGGAGAGGTCAGTTTCAGTGGCTTAGCCTGCAATCCCAGCACTTTGGGAGGCCGAGGCGAGTGGATTTCCTGAGCCCACGGGTTCAAGACCAGCCTGGGCATCTTGGTAAGACCTTGTCTCTACAATAAATCAAAAATTAACTGGGCATGGTAGCGCGTGTCTGTAATTCCAGCTACTCAGAAGGCTGAGGCAGAAGGATTGCCAGAGCCTAGCAAGTCAACACTGGTGTGGCAGTGAGCATGCCATTGCACTCCAGCATGGGCAATGGCTTGAGACTCCAACTTAGAAAAAAGCAAGTTAGCTGGGTTCGGTGGCTCAGCCTGTAATCCCGCGCCTTTGGGAGGCTGAGGTGAGTGGATCGCCTGAGCCCGTGGGTTCGAGACCCGCCTGGGCAGCGAGACCTCATCTCTACAATAAATCAAAAAATCAGTTGGGTGTGGTAGTGCATGCCTGTAATTCTGGCTACTCGGAAGGCTGAGGCGGAAGGATCGCCGGAGCCCAGCAGGTCGAGGCTGCGGTGGCCGGGAGCGGCCACTGCACTCCAGTCTGGGCGACAGAGTGAGACTCCAACTCAAAAAAAAAGCAGGTTGTTGGTGGGAAGTGGATTTGATTTGGGTGTTGCTCACAGTTGACTCCCTGGAGTCCAGAGGCAACTGACAACTTTCCTAACCCATCTGCACAATGGAAGACCTCTGCCCACCCTGTGCCTGGGAAACTCTTTTTAGCACTGGGTTCAGCTCTGCAAAGTTTCCGTCAGCCTTGAAGGGACACTGGAGGAAAAGAGAGGAAAAGGAGGTGCATACTCTTGACCTTGTCATCATGGCCACTGGTGCCCATCATTCTTCACCACGGATCCTCTCGCTTCCTCTTATCTCATGGCTCTCCGAGACAGAGCAGTAACATGCCACCCATTTCTGCGTTGGTGACCAGGAACGCATGCAGGCCACAGATTAAGTTGCCTGGTTTTTGGTTTGTTTGTTTGTTTTGTTTTGTTTGTTTGTTTTGAGACAGGGTCTCTCACTCTGTCACCAAGGCTGGAGTGTAGTGGCAGTCATGACTCACCGCAGCCTTACCTCTTGAGCTCAGGCAATCCTTCCGCCTCAGCCTCCCTAGTAGCTGGGACTACAGGCCCACACTACCACACCCGGCTAATTTTTTTTATTATTTAGTAGAGATGAGGTCTTCCTATGTTGCCCAGGCTGGTCTCGAACTCCTGGGCTCAAGCAGTCCTCCCACCTTGGCCTTGCAAAGCACTGGGATAACAAGCATGAGCCACTGTGCCCAGCTCTGTTTTGCTCTCTTCTGGTGCCTGAAGTAAGGTTTGTATTCAGGTTCACGGACTTGCCCTACTTTTCTTAAGTGCCTAGTGTCTCGCTAGGAGCCGGGTGAAGGATGCAAAAGAAATCAAGGTGTATTTCACCTAACTTTGGGTGAAACCAAACAGATAGGAACTAATCTTCCTATTAACTCACTCAAATATGTACAACAGTCTCATGGTAGGAAATGGTAAGTGAAAATCGAGAGAGGAAAGAGAAGTGAGGGATCCAGTCATGCTGAGCCCTGCCACACGTCAGCATTTTGCCAGTCCCTGTGGATGGGATCCCTGCCACCCTAGGGCCTGGTAGGGACAGCCAGAAAATGAGCATATAAATATATTACCCACTGCTGTGCTAGGTACCCAGTGTGTTTCTGCCACCCCTAATGTCCACGCTGTCCCCTCCACCCTGGGTAGCTTACTGCATTGTGTTTTCACTGCATGTGCACCCATGTCCCGCCCTTGAGTTCCTAAATCCTCTGAGTTCAGTGCTCTGCTCACCGTTTTCCCCCCACACCCAGCTTGCAGGCAGCTCTCAGGAGAGCCTTGTGGCATGCACAGATCCAGGGTGTGGTTCCTGAGGCCCCAAGATGTGAGGGCCCCCTTGGACGTGGCCCGGGAGCAGGGACAGGAAGGGACTTCATGGAGAAGAATGGCCCCAAGGGCTAAGGAGGGTTGACTTACTTCCCAAAACCTCAGTACTGTTAGTATATAGGGTGCTTCTACATAGGGTGAAATGCACTTGTGCTTATAATTTATTTGTCATTTTAAAGGCTTTGGCTGAAGTGTTGCAAATAGGTCAGGACAAGGCTGAGGGCTGGGTGAGGTGACGGGGAAGGAGAGGTCCAGGTATGGGTAACCCTGAGGTTAGGGGAGATGGGGCAAGAGTGACTGAAAGGATCTACTTCCCCTGTGAGGTGCAAAATCTCTGCCCCTCCCCTGGGCCTTGTAAACAAAAGAGGAAGTGGCCAAGATGGCTGAGGCCCATCTCATCTCCCTGCCCGGCTGTCTGCCAGAAGCAGGCCTCTGGCTCCAAGCCTACCTCTGAAAACTCTGACCCGGCACTGGAGCACACTCATTTTCACTATTTCAGTATTTATTTAGAGACAAGAGAAAGGAAGGGCCTTGGGTTTGGGTTGGCAAGGGGAGCGCTCAGTATTCCAGGACTTCTGTTTGGGTTGGCCTGTGCCTGCCAAGCTGGCCTGTGTGCCTTCCCAGCTGTGGCAAGTTTGCTTACGCTAGAGGATGTCTCGAATTTGCAGAACTCAGATCCTGAGCCCCGCCTGGTTCTTTGGGCCTGGGCCACAGGTCTGGGCAGTTTCTCCCTTGGGAGGCTAAAGAAAGAAGACCACAGGCTGCATGACGCAGTCAGACAGCTAGCCAGTGCCCTGGGCAGACGCTCATGGGAACACTCAGAGTTCAAGTCTCTTGGAAACATGGGACTTGGGGGTAGGGAGGGGAAGGTTTGGATTCCTTGAAGAGCAAAAAGACGGATTCCATGCTAGGTGCTTTTGGGACTGCTTTTTAGCACTTGTGGGCCTTATCCCTGCTTCCCTGAGCTGGAGAAAACTTTTAACCCAGCTGAACAGGAGGGAGAAAGTGGGGAGCATCTCTTACTAACTTCTAGCCTCTCTTATCAGCCAGCTTTTGATGTAACTTCCTGTACGAGGATACCAGAAGAAGAAATGAGATTTGCAGTAATCTGATGTTCCCCCAACCTGTTCTCTGCTATGACTTGGAGGAGATTTGGGGTGGGGGAGGCATCTCCAAGTCGCCATAAGTTTTCTGGTCTGCCAGAGGGGGGGTGTCTTCAAAATGTTTGGTGTTTGTCTTTTAAGATGTAATTTGTGTTCGGTATTTAGAAAGCAGAGTTGTTAATATAAGAGAGGTAAAAGACCGTTAAGACGCTTAATGAGTTGTATAGAAAAGTCAGCTTTGTGTGGGGAAAAAAGTATAAGCAGTGGTTATCTTTGAGGGACAAAATTACTTGGTTTTTTCCTCTTCAAATTTGTCTGTATTTTCTGTTTTTTCCCCTCACAATGAGCATATCACTTGTGCAATTTTTCTTGCTTTCTTTAAAAATAATTGAAAATCTTTTTTAAAAGTTTTACAGACATAATGTATGTTTATGGTAAGGTGAATAATATTAAGATACATAGAGGTAAAGGTGTTAATCTATGCCTTACTATCCCCAAGGAGACCATAGCAGCAGCTTAGTGAGGATCCAAGTACCCTTTCCCATATAGACACACACACGATAGAAGCTGGGTTGGTTGTTTTTTTTTTGAGTCAGAGTCTCATTCTGTTGCCCAGGATGGAGTGCAGTGGCATGCTCATGGCCATCCCAGTGTTGACCCGCTGGGCTCAGGCAATCTTTCTGCCTCAGCCTTCCGAGTAGCCAGAACTGCAGGCGCACGCTACCACATCTGGCTAATTTTTTTATTTATTGTAGAGACAAGGTCTCACCAAGTCGCTCAGGCTGGTCTCTAACCCCTGGGCCCAGGCAGTCCTCTTGCCTCTGGGTTGGTTTTTATATGACTTCATCTCATCACCTTATATGCCACCTGGATTTTTGTTGTTGTTGTTGCTATAATGTATCATTGCCATCACTTAAGGCCTTGACTGTATATAACCTAACCTTTTTCATTATTGCATTACACTGATTTATTGCGTCTTCTGTGGGCAGTCAGGTTATTTCTAGTTTTTTGCTATTATAAACACTGCTGCATAGACATACATGTTCATATATATGTGTGTATGCTGATGCTATAATCTTTTGAAAGGCCAAAGGAAAATGAGTTTTAAATGTTCTAATAGCTACCTTCAAGTCTTTTTCTAAAAGACTGACATTTTACACTTCTTTATTTTATTTTTTTAGAGACAGAGTCTCCCTCTGTTGCCCAGGCTGGAGTGCAGTGGTGCGGTCATGGCTCACTGTAACCTTGAAATCCTGGACTCGAGAGGAGTCCTCAGCCTCCTGAGTAACTGGGACTACAGGTGTGTGCCACCATGTCCAGCTTATTTTTTATCTCAGTTTCTGTAGAGATAGAGTCTTGCTGTGTTGCCCAGGCTTGTCTTGACCTTCCAGCCTTTTGCAATCCTCCCAAAGCACTGGGATTACAGGCAAGAGCCACCACACCCAGCCTAACACTTTTTACTTTTTTAAGCGCAATAAAATGTTTTCTGAGGGCATTGAACTAAGGACCAAGAACCCTGTGTTCCAGCTCTGGCTGTGCTGCATGAAATTGGGCAAATTATTTTTCAAACGTGGAAGTTCTGTTTAGAATAATGCACTCATGTGACCATGGGAGGGATATGAGAAGTCTGCCAAGTCCTTTCAAACCCAGGAGTTTTATGGTTATATGCAGTCTTCAGAAGTCGTGTTCATCTCTTTCTTCAGATGTATTCTCAGAGGAATCCAGGGAAGGCTGAGCATCTCTGAGGATGACGGAGGTTGCTGGGCCATGGCCTTGTCTATTCTTTGTACCTCGGCCCAGAGCCAGGATCAGGGCTGTGCAGGGCCAGGGCCATGACCAGAGGGTCTTGGAGCGTTCCTCAGAGATTTCTAGGGTTTTTCTCTAGACTAAAAATTCGCTTGCATTTAGTTGACTCGAACTTGAGGGAGACAAGCCACTCTCAGGCCAACCCGAGGTAAGCCCTTGGAAGGAGCAGTGGTGATGCCAAAGTTTCCGCCAATCACTCACCTGTCCTCCCCTCTGCCCTAGGTATGCCGGCATGTAAAGAACGGAGACATTCTCCTTCTGAACCGACAGCCCACCCTGCATAGACCCTCCATCCAGGCCCACCATGCCCGCATCCTGCCCGAAGAGAAAGTCCTACGTCTCCACTATGCCAACTGCAAGGCCTATAACGCCGACTTTGATGGAGATGAGATGAACGCCCACTTCCCACAAAGCGAGCTGGGCCGGGCTGAGGCCTATGTCCTGGCCTGCACCGACCAGCAGTATCTTGTTCCCAAGGTAGGTCTGGCCTTGAGGCCATTTCGTAGTCCTTGCTGGAGGGACTTGACACTTTGAACCTGGGCCTTTGCCAGCTCCTGGGGTCAGTAGGCACCGCCGGGGCAGGAGCACATAGAATAGAGGGTCCTGGCTTCTTCCAGGTGGGGATTTTTTGCCCTCTAGTTGCCTAGAGACTAGGAAACATTTCTGTTTTGCTGCATCTTAAAGTAAGCCTGGAGAGAAACTGTGAGGCCCATCCCAGAAAGCCAAACTTAGTAGCTGAATAATAGGTGCTGTCTTCCAGACTTAGGTTTGCATTCCACAACTCAGTGGCTCTGCAAACATTAGTGTCCCAACTACAATGGTTCTCATGGTCCACAGATGACTTTGATCCTTTGCATTCTGACACGCATGACTTTGAAGAGGCAGCCTAACCCCAAGGGCCCAGATGAGATCCCCCAGCGTTCTCTTCTCTTTGAATCCCTTCCTGCTCTCTCTGAGGTCAGTCCTCAAGGGCGGTCCCATGTGGTCATGACTGTCCAGAGGGACACATGGGAAGGATGTAACTTCCTCCCCCTCTCCTGGCCAGCTGGCTCAGGGCCAGGAGTGGCCGGAGACCAAGTCAGCATGTCCTCATGGGAAGGACAGAGCAGGGAGAGAGGCAGGCTGCAGGAAAAAGGACAGAGGATGTCCAAGTCCCCGCTTACCTCTCACCACCCGTCCAGAGGTCTGAAGCCTTTTAAATTGCAAGCCATTTGTATCACTTGGCTTACAGTTACACATCACTCATTTGGATTTTGGTAGAGTATGAAAGAACTAGTAGTGATAATAATATGATGCGATAGCTACCATTTTCCAAGCTTCTTTAGTGTCAGACACGGGGCAAAGCACTTTGGAGGCTTCTGGTTTCACTCTCCCCTTAGTTCTTAGAGGTAGGTTCCATGAAGAATTCATATAACCTGCCCTAGGACACCCAGCTGAGAAGCAGGAGGAAAGACAGGGTGCTCCCAGGTCTTCCTAGAGTTTGTGCTGCTGCGTTGGAGAGCTCTATGCCCAGGCAGCCCCAGGGGCTGGTCAGAACAGCCCAGTGTTGGTTAGTGCCCTCTGCTCCTGGGAATGGCTCTTCCCCATCAGCCATCTGCCACCCGGGGAATCAGGTGGGTGGCCAGGAACCCAGCATCCCATCCCCTTTTCCCACCAGATGCACGACTGTGGCTTCACGTGGGTCCCAGCTGTTTGAGTGGACCTTTCCTGTCTCTGCACACCCTTGCAGGCTGTGGATTAACAGAGACTAAACATGGGACGAAGGGGTGAAGGGCTCACTCAGATTGCTTGGGATTAGAAAAAATAAGTTTGCTCATTTGAACATTGACTTTTCGTGTAAATAATAGCAGTTGTAGTTGTAGTGTTCTTGAGTGGGCCTGGGCCCCAGGCACTGTGGTGAGCAGTTTGCAAACATTCCTTCTTGAGTCCTCCGACAGCCTCAGGAGGTAGGAATGATTTTCAGATGAGGAAACACCGCGTGAGTAATTTGTCAGCCAGCAGCGAGGGCAAGACCTGAATCTGGCATCTTTGGACTCCCCAGCCAGTGTGCTCAGTTGCGTGTGCTCCTTAGCCCCCCTTGACAGGCAGTGCTGGGACTGACAGAAGGGATGTGGCAGGAAGTGGCTTCCAGGACTGTGCCGGTTCTCTGACTCTAGAGGCTGAGTCATTTTCACCAGAGGGGACACCACCAGGGAGCAGAAGATGGCTTTTTTGCTGGCAGAGTGACCTGTGGGCATTAGCCACGTGGGGGTTGAGGTGCTCTGACGTCATCAGACCCGCGAACTTGAATGTTCTGTACTTGATTTTGATTAAATAAGGTGCAGAGCCATAGGCGGCTTCATGCTTGCCTTGTGTCCTGCAATGGACTGGCTTATTTAAATCCAGTGGGCCTCGTCACATGCTCATATGCCTGTGAGTTTGGGTCGGGCTTACACTTCAGGGAGGCAGGAGAAACACAGGTAAATAAGCTTGCATCACAATATTATTTTCTTAAGATGTAAAAAAAGTGTGAGGGGTGGCTTGCGGCTTCACTGCACTTTCAATCGATGTGTTTTATCAGAGAGAGGTAGAGCTTTTGATTCCTGATAAATTTTATTTAGTCCTTGGTGTGACTGCCAAGAAGTGGAATCCTCATATTTGCTGACATATTATTAAAATAAAAGTATTAATAATATAAAAATGCAACATATCTTTATTGACAGAGTCCTAAGAGGACAAGAGCTGGTTTGGTTGAGCTAGGAGGTCCATTTCTTGGCGGTTGTTTTCTTCTTCTTCTTATTATTATTATTATTTCCCTTTGTTTCCATTTCTTTTTGTTCATTATTCCATTTCTTCTCTATTTCCAGGTTCTCTTCCTTAACTAATGATAGTACCAGACCAAAGTACATTTGATTGTTGGTTTTATATACTTAGTAGAATACTGTGTTGTCTTTTTACTTAAAATAGAAGTTGAATAGAACTCTAGCTGTTTCTTTCCCAAGAAAACAGTTAAATTTTCATGTATATGTTTCTGTTGGATTCAGCATTCTTCTTCTGTTTGTTGGAAGGCACTTGCTTTTTAAACAAGGCTTGAGACGGTTTCCTGACTTTTACTTAGTCTGCTATAAAATTCCAGTCACTGAATACCCTATTCTCAAAGCATTGTTACCAAAGACATTAATTGTGTTGTCATTATGCAGTGCTATTAAGCAGAATAGTGTAACTGTCAATTTTCTGGGATTTTGATTCAGAGATGTTCTCTCTGATTCTAAGCAGGACTTAGGAAATTTAGGATCATAAATAGACTTTTGGTAATTGTTTTAATCAGCATTCCTCCCTAGAATTTCTGATTATTTCATTGAAAGCAGTTTAGCCATTAAAGTAATTTTCTAGCCATGGAAAATTCTGGACAGAGAGGAAAAGGCATTGAATATATCATATGACTTGTAATTATGTTCTTTAAGGAAGGAAACAAAAGGAAAAATATATATTTGCCCCCAGAGTCTGTGGGATGAGTCAGACGCATAATACTGGTTTGGGTTTTTTCCCCTAAGCAAAATAAGGCCATCTGTGGAACAAGATGTAGAGAATAGTTTTTTTATTTATATTATTGGAAAGTCAAAGGCTTTGTAAGAAGGGCCGTTTGCTCCTCTGATCTTGTCTTACATCTGTGCCACCTTTCAGCTCATCTGTAATAATTATCTTAGAGTTTACATAGAGCCAGTCACTGCAGTGTTTAGGCCATTTGACAAGAAACCTCTTTCGCCTTTGAATTAGTACATGTGGCTAAGTTCCTGGCACTTCTCCCTGACTGCATTTGTGAGTTCCTTTAGTCTTAGTTATGAAACATGGCCTTACTATTGACTGGTATTTAACTAGTAATCAAATGATAATCATCTCTAGATCCAAGGCACGGGTTTTACTCAAATTCCTGTAAACATTGAAAAGTTTTGCAAAAACTACATCTTAAAGAACATCAGTGAGCACAGCTATTTTTACTTTAGTGTGCCTTATGTTGCCATGAACACAGACTCGACAAATAAGGTTCAGGAGACTGGACATCCGAATGATATGAGAGTGTCAGAAGAAGTGAATGTACTCACCTAATCTTTGGATTTTTATAAAAGCCCTTGTTTTGGCATCTGGTAGATAACAGACTCTGTTAATGACCCACCACAAACCAACCATGTGCTACATTTTGAAGAGACCATCAAATGGACATTCTTCTCTGCAGTCTGTGTGCATCAAAGCCCTCTCACAGCCCCCTGAGGGACCCATGCCTGAACTCCCTCCTCCCTGCACGGTCTGACTCCACCCTCAGGCCTCAGCTGTAATACTGCCCCTCAGGGAGACCATTTCTGAACCCCGCCTCTACCCCAAATCTTTATTTGACTCATTCTGGGATTTTCCTCCATAGCACTTAAAACACCTTGTGATAATGTGTTTATTTGTTTACTCTTTAGTTCTGTCTCATCAAAAAGGATTGTGCTTGTTTGGTCCACGGGAGTAGGCCAAAATCTGCTCGGTGCCTAGGCATACAGGAGGCTCTCGATAAATATTTGTTGAACGGATGACTGATTTATAGGAGAACAAGGCCAGAAATGTGTGAAAAATGCTAAAGCATAAAACCAAAGTATAAAAACAAGATCACAGCTAACAGCAGCCAGACCAAATTTGTGCATAAATGCCAAAAATATGCTAGAGTAACTAGAACCAGATGGGATTAAATAGAGGCGGCTTGGGGAACTGGTGTGTTTGAAGCAGCTTTGACACAGGACAGTGGGCAAATGGCAGAAGCATGAGCCCGTGGTAAGCCCCGGTCATGTGCCCTGGGAGGTTGTTGTCTCCTAGGCAAGGGCAAGGTGAGGACACGACAAGACAAGGCAGGGATATTTGTTGGACTGTTGCTAAAAGCGGCTTCCAAGCAGATGACTAAGAATTCGAGTTTGACTTAAAGTTTACTTTGGTTCTTTTCTTTTCTTGTCCTTTTTTGGTTTGTAGGATGGCCAGCCATTGGCGGGTCTGATCCAGGATCACATGGTTTCAGGTGTAAGCATGACTACTCGGGGTTGCTTCTTCACCCGGGAACAGTACATGGAGCTGGTGTACCGCGGACTCACAGACAAAACAGGGCGCGTGAAGCTCCTTCCTCCTGCCATCCTGAAGCCCTTTCCACTGTGGACGGGAAAGCAGGTAACTGGGAGAAAACAACCAGTGTATATAACAGAAGGGAACAGGCCACTCGTGGAAGCAGTTTCCCTCCCAGGAGAGCCTAGGCTGGAGACAGAGAAAGGGCTAACCAGGCAGTAGTCTTACTTTCCGTTTCCGTTGTTTGGGGTTCCTGAGTCTGGATGAGTTCGGGGAGCATTTACTAAGAGTCAGTTGGGCCAGGTGCAATGGTTCATACCTGTAATCCAAGAGCTTTGGGAGCTGTGAAGTGCAAAGATCACCTAAGCCCAGGAGTTTGAGACCAGTCTGGGCAACATAGCAAGACCCTGTCTCTACAAAAAATAAAATCAAATTAGCTGGGAGTGGTGGCACGTGCCTATAGTTCTAGCTACTTGGAAGGCTAAGGTGGGAGGATCATTTGAGCCTAGGAGTTCGAGGCTGCAGTGAGCTATGATTGCTCCAGTGCATTCCAGCCTGGGCAACAGAGCAAGACCCCCATCTCTAAAAATATATCTATAAAAATAAAGAGTAGACCGCATAGTTTCTGTTCTTTGCTTCTAACTTAAACTTGGTGTCCTCATGATCCAAATATGATGGTAATAGGCACTGGTGCCAGTGGCAGTAGTAGTAATTATTATTATTATTATTTTTTTAGTTGGAGTCTCACTCTGCTGCCCAGGCTGGAGTGTAGTGGCATGCTCATGGCCAATGCATCCTCGACCTGCTGGGCTCAGGCAATCGTTTTACCTCAACCTAAGTAGCTAGAAATATAGGCGTGTGCCACCATGCCCAGTTAATTTTTGATTTATGGTAGAGATGAGGTCTCACCAAGTTGCCCAGGCTGGTTTCAAGCCCCTGGACTCAGGCAGTCCTCTCGCCTTGGCCTCCCAAAGTGCTGGAATTACAGGCTTGAGCCACCACGCCCGGCCGAGTAGTAGTACTTGTTAGGAAGTACCAAGTGCTTTGCTGAGTGCAATAGATATGTTATCTGATTTAATCCTCACAACTAACCCTCACAGTGCAGAGACCATTATTATCTCCTTTTAGCAGATGATAAATTACAAACCCAAGATGATAGGAGGCAGATCAAACCCAGGACTTTCCAACTCCCAAAAGCATTACACCATACTTCCTCTCAAAGCAACCAGATAATAGTATACATGTGATCAGATGATGAAATGCAGTACAGTATGTTCTTCTATTGTTGACTAAACTTCTGAGTTCAGCCCCAAGAGCCAACTTCTAATTGGCTATGTGATCTTGGTTCTGTGAGTTATGGTCCCTTGTCTATAAAAAAGAGTGGTTCGAGTTGATGGCTCCTGTAAATTTTTTCCAGCTCTGTAGATTTTTTTTTTTTTAATTGGAATCTTGCTCTGTCACCCAGGCTAGAATGCAATGTCATGATCATGATATCACGATGATCATAGTTCATGGCATGTTGATCTCAACCTCTTGGACTCTTGTGATCCTTCTACCTCATCCTCCCAAGTACCTGGGACTGCAGGCATGTGCCATCACAACTGACAAATTTTTTTATTTTTTGTAGAGATGAGGTCTCACTATGTTGCCCATTCTGGTCTCGAACACTTGGGCTCAAGCAATCTGCCTGCCTCAGCTGCCCAAAGTACTAGGATTATAGGCATGAGCCTCCGTGCCTGGTCCTAATGCCATTTTCTTTCTTTTTTTTCCAAAGAAAGAAAAGTTTATTTAAAGGTAAATTAGAGAGAGAAAGAGAAGGGAGAGAAAAGATTCACCTCCCCAAGGTGGGGGAGAGGGGAGGGGGCCAAAGCCAGGAAGCCTGGCGACAGCCGTAGCTCAAAGAGCACATGGCCACACCAGAGTCTAGTGAGGCAATGGCCCCTAATGCCATTTTCTGATGATCAAAAGTTCTCTATTTTAATGTAGGGCAGCCGTCTACATTAAAACGTTGCTTTTTATGGTTAATTTTATATAAGAAATAATTTGCCTGCCTTGAGATTCTGAAAGTATTGCCCTCTGGTATTGTCTAAAAAAGGATGTTGTGTTAGCAGGCATGAAAATAGCATTAATTTCCTTATACATCTCCATCAGAGCTCTTGAGTGAGATGTGTTGTCAGTAAGCAGTAATATTTTGTTTCTTTTTGAATCGGAGTCTTACTATGTTGCTTAGGCTAAAGTGCAGTGGCACACTCGCAGCCACTGCAGCCTTGACCTGCTGGGCTCAGGCAATCCTCCCGCCTCAGCCTTCCAAGTAGCTGAAACCACAGGCATATGCCACCATGCCCAGCTAATTTCTTGATTTACTGAGGTCTTGCCATGTTGCTCAGGCTGATCTCGAACCCCTGAACTCAGGCAATCCAGTGAGCAGTAATACTTTGAAAGGAGCAGTAGATTCAACCGTGAGTTGAAAATATTTAGTAAACCCTGCTATAAACAGATGTTCTGTCATCCAGGCTTTGTTACTCCATTTATAGAATACAGGCAGATTGAATTTAGCATAATTCTTAATACTTTTGCAACTGGCAAATTTTACACTTTTCCTAATACTAAGAGTGGGTGAAAATAAAACAAATCTGAAGCTGGCTGCCACAAACTTCAATCGTTAAACACAAGTGAAATGGCCTTCTCTAAATTGTCACCTTTTTCACAGCTGAAAGTTGCAGGCATATCCAGTATTTGCCTCAGACACCACTCTGACTAGCATTCCATACTTTGAATTTTTATTCGGATTATAAACCCAAAAAGATAGTCTTCCACCATGAGATAAATTCACGTCAGCGGCAACCAGGAACAGAATTTGAAATGACATAAATCCACGTCAGCAGTCGTGCCTAAGTTAAGGACCCTAGGATTTTGGAGTCGTTAGCAAGCATTGGCTTTCAAGTCACCAGCCACACTAGCCCCTAATAAGAGAATCCTGTCCTTTGAAGTCAGGAGCTGACTTCTCCTCTCTAGCTATGAAAGTTCTAGATGGCATCATCTTCCAACAGAAGGCTGTTTTATTTCCATCGAAAATCTGTTAATTAGCCTGGTGTGGTGGCAGGTACCTGCACTCCTAGCTACTTGGAAGGCTGAGGTGGGAGGACTCCTTGAGGCCAGAAGTCCGAGCTTCAGTGAGCTATGATTGCACCACTATACTCCAGCCTAGACAGCAGAGTGAGACCCTGTCTCTTAAAAAGCAAAAAGACAAAAATCTGTTGTTTGGCGGAGCCACCTTCATCAGTGACCTGCAGCTGCAGCTTCTCCAGCAGCACCTACTGCTTCACCTTGCATCTTATGTTATGAAGACGGCTTCTTTCCTTAAGCCTCACAAATCACCTCTGCTAGCTTCCAGCTTTTCTGCTGCTGCTTCCTCACCTCTCTCAGCCTTCATGGAATCGAAGAGTTGGGACCTTGCTCTGGATTAGGCTTTGGCTTAGGGGAATGTTGTAGCTGGTTTGAGCTCTCTAGACCACCCAAGCTTGTCCTTGTCAGCAGTAAGGCTGTTCCCCTGTCTCATCATCGGTGCGTTCAGTGGAGAAACATTTTCACTTGCCTTTAAGGACTTTTCCTTTGCCTTCCCGACTTGACTGTTTGGTACACGATTCCTTGCTTTTGGCCTTGGTTTTCCGCTTGCCTTCCTCACTGAGGTTAATCATTTCTAGCTTTTGGTTTCAAGTGGGAGACATGGAACTCTTCCTTTCCCTTGAACACTTGGAGGCCACTGTCGGGTTATTAATTGTCCTAATGTCAACATGGGTATGTCTCAGGGAATAGGGAGGCCATAGGAGAGGGAGAGATGGGGGTTGGTGGAGAGCAGTCAGAACACACACATTTATCCGTTCAGTTCACTGTCTCATATGGGGCGAATTGTGGCACCTAACACAACTGCAATCGTAACGTCAAAGATCTCTGATCATAGATCATCATAACAGATATAATAATGATGAAAAAGTTTGACATTATCAAACTTTTGAGAATTATCAAGATGTGACATACAGTGAGCACAGGCTGTTGGAAAAATGGTGCTGACAGACTTGCAAAAAGGCAGGGTTGTCACAGACCTTCAATTTGTGAGAAATTTATCTGTGAGGCACAATAAAATTAGGTATTTAAATATTTAAATCTTTCATTGCTTTTTATATTGTATTTAAATCTTTCATTGCTTTCAACAGTGTGTTGTAGTTTTCAGTGTGCAGGTTTTGCACTTCTTTGGTTAAATTTATCCATATTATTTTTGGATTATTCATTGCTAATGTATAGAAAAACAAGTGACTTTCTTTTTTTTTTTTTTTGAGTTGGAGTCTTACTCTGTTACCCAGGCTGGAATACAGTAGCACACTCCCAGCCACCTCAGCCTCAACCTGCTGGGCTCCAGCGATCCTTCTGCCTCAGCCTTCCAAATAGCTGGAACCACAGGCAGGTGCCACCACACCCAGCTAATTTTTTTATTTTAGAGATGAGGTTTCGTAAAGTTGACCGGACTGGTCTCAAACTCCAGGGCTCCGGCAGTCCCTCGCCTCCACCTCCCAAAGTGCTGGGATTACAGGCATAAGCTACCATGTCTGGTAGTTTTCTTTTTTGTCCAGAATCTCACTTTGTCACCCAGGCCGGAGTATAGTAGTAGCATCACCACAGTTCACCACAGCCTCGACTTCCTGGGCTCAGGGGATCCTTCTTCCTCAGCCTCCCAAGCAGCTGGGACGACGGGCACACACCACCGTGCCTGGTTAATTTTTGTATTTTTTAGTAAAGACAGGATCTCACTGTGCTACCCAGGCTGGTCTCGACTTCTTAGCCTCTATTGATTATCCCACCTCGACCTTCCAAAGTGCTGGGTTTACAGGCGCCTGACCAAACAGTTGATTTTTATATGTTGATCTTATATCCTTCAGCTTTGCAGATGTCATTTACAAGCTCTAGTCTTTTTTTTGTTGATTCTTAAGGGTTGTCTCTATGTAACATCATGTCATCTGCTGTTAAAGGTGATTTTACTCCCCCCTTTTCAATCTGAGTGCCTTTTACTTATTTTCTTGCATGTCAGTTGCCCTGGCTAGAACTTCCAGTGCTTTGTTGAGTAGAAGTAGCAAGAGTACACGTCCTTGTCTTGCTCCTGATTTTAGGCAGAAGCATCAGTCTTCCATCACTGAGCATCCATCAGTGAGCATCTCTGACTTTGTTAGCTGAAGCTTTCATGTACGCTGCCCCTTTGTTGGGTTGATGACATTTCTTCCTATTCCTTGTCTGTTGAGTGTTTTTATTATGAAAGGGTGTTGAGGCTTGTCACAGGCTTTTCTGTCTCCTTACTTTATAGATGAGGTGATAGGTCATATGTCTCTGTCCTCAGATGGTGGGTTCTATGTGTTTCTGACACCGTCCATGCTGAGTTCTAGTCTTGACTGGGCCCAGCCTGTTGGTCCCCACTGTGCATGTGGCCCCTTGGGAGAGGCACAGCTTGGACAAAGCATCCTGGAGAAGCGTTACCTCCTGCCTTTACTCTGTCGCCCCAGTCGCCTTCTGCAGAGCCGAGGAATAGAGTGCGGGTCACGACCTTTCTGATCATCTTCTGCCGAAGAAACGGGGAGTGTTGTCTGTCTGCTTTCTTTACACACACCGCTGCCCTTTGTGCCCTGCTCCTGGTACACATGTATGAAAAGGCAGCGCTCTCATGACTGCCCTGTCCCTGTTGTTCACATATTAGGAAGCTACATTTGGGGCCTGGTATGGGCACACAGAGAGCTGTTGATGCCAGGGTCCTCCTCGCTTTAGTGCCTGCCAGCCTCTGCCCTGCTCCATCTCAGGGGATGTGTGCATTTGACCTTCCGGAGCTGACCCTGGTTGTTGTAGGTACAGCTGCCTCCCTGTGGGCTCTCTGGAACACTGCTTGAGAAAGTGCTTCTGGCTTCTATGAGCAACTGCTTGTGCGTGGCCCCTCCATGGACCCAGCTGGGGCAGGAGCAGGACTCCTGGCCTTTCGGTAGCTATAATTAATTCTAGACAAATAGATTTATTTCTGGTGTTTATCTTTGTGAGGGCTAATTGTGGGGGCCATCAGGTCACCACGTGGTCACCTAGACAGCATGTCCTGTGATGTGCCTCACCACAGAAACTCAGCCACACTGTGCTCCCGACTCAGACAACCTCTTGTAGAGTATCAGTCCCTCTTGTCAGTGTCACTTAGGGGACCTCTCCTGCAGGGCAATTTATTTAGCCTCAGAGTCTAGACTGGAAACATATTTAAAACAATTGCTCCTCTTAAAAATTAAATCAGAGGTGGTATGGTCTGAATGATTGTATACCTGCAAAAGTCATATGTTGCAATCCTAACCCCCAAGGTGATGGTGTTAGGAGTCTGGAGCTTTGGGATGTGATTGGGCCTTGGGGGCAGAGTCTAAAGAATGGGATTAGTGCCCTTATAAAGGAGGCCTCAGAGAGCTCCCTCACCTCTTCCACCCTGTGAGAACACAGCAAGAAGGTGCTGTCTATAAGCCAGAAAGCGAGGCCCTCACCAGATACCTTCATCTTTTCTGTTGTTTTAAGCACATGGCTTGTGGTATTTTCTTAACATAGTCGGGATTAACCAGGGCAGAGCACATCAGTCCTACCAAATGGCTTTCTTGCTTACTCAGACTAAAATCCATGGCTTTCTTGTTTACTCAGACTAAAATCCATGCCCTGGCTGCCCCCTGCCTAAAATGCATAGTCTGCTCTCTCTGCAGCCCCTTCCTCACTGTCTCTAGCTGAGGCCTTCCCTGGCCACCTTACTTAAAACTCCCAGTGCCCCTCCCCACTCTGCTCCAGGTCTTCCTCTACTCTGCTCTGCTTTCCTCCAGAGCTCCAAGCCCCCTCAAGAACAAAGGCCCCAGTGAGGGCGGAGGCCAGACTCTGTTTGTAACTCTTGTCAGTGCCTACTTCATAGTAAGCCCCCGGTATGTAATTCCTTGAATGAACGAACCTTATCTGTATTCTGCAAATGAGCAACACTGAGGCGAAAAGAAGCCAAGAATGCGCCCCACAGCATGTAGCCGGTCACTAACAGAGTGGAAGCTGAGACACCGAAGCGTTCCCCCAGCAGCTGCTTCCTCAGTTGGCTATCTTGGGCTCCTGTGTGAAGCTTTTCCCAGGGAAAGCTCTCAATGCTTGTCATTGATGCTTTCCTTCCTTGGCCCCTCCAGAAAGTCAGCGGTTCTGCAGGCAGGGAGGCAGTTATTGAGTGTGTGTGATAATGGCCATCCATCCACTTTGAGGTGACCTGAGGAGTGTTCTTTGACCTTGTACTGCAGGGACTGACATCACGTCAGGGCTCACTTCTGGCAGATGGCAGCAGTGGGAGCCCTATTCTCTCAACCCAGCTGACTCTCGCTTTCTGTTTTTAAGAATCCCCCCCCAACCAATAAATGATATTTCCTTATTTTGATTCCACAGTGGTTTACTTTATTTCTCTCCCTGCTTTGGCCTATCCAGGAATTTAATTAAAATCTAGGGGATTGTTTACTTTAAGAACTGTTTTAGGGAGTAAAAATCCCAGTGAAGTTTTTATTTTATTTTTAATTTTAATATTTTCTTTATTATTGAAACGTGGGGTGCCAGTCAGGATCAGGTACATGAGTGATGTATGTGCGGGTAAAGTTAGGGCCTAACTGGTCCTCACTTCCCCTGGTTTAGAATCAAGCACCCTTTGTGTTGTTATGTGTCCTTCCTCCTCCCCCAGTGACGTTCTTATGGATGTATTTTTGTTTCTACTCTCAAGTCATATAAGTAAAAACTGAGCTCAGCTTGTTCTATAGAGGTAGACCTGTTTAGCTTGCTCTGCCTGAGATCAAGTGGCATTGCAGGGCAGGAAGTCCTAAAAAGGGAAGTCCTCAACTTTTCTTCCCACCATAATTTGTGCTCTTTTTTTTTCTAGGTTGTGTCAACGCTGCTCATAAACCTAATCCCAGAGGACCACGTCCCACTGAACTTATCTGGAAAGGCGAAAATCAGCGGGAAGGCCTGGGTGAAGGAGACCCCTCGACCCATCCCCGGCTTTAACCCTGACACTATGTGCGAGTCCCAGGTATGGCCACCCAGCTGTGTGGGTGGGAGACTTCTAGTCCCAGGGTTAGACAGAGACAGAGAAACGGAGGCACACTCACAGAAGCCTGCCCTGCCTTAGAAGAGGAGGCATCATTGCCCAAGCTGGTGTCAGCTTTTGTTTTGGAAAGGGTCAGCGTTGATATCTAGCATTTGACCCTCAGGATAAAGCTGACAACCAGTTTGAGAAGGCTTCTTCAGCAAAAGCCTGGAATTGAGTCTACAAAGCTTAGAAATATGGCGCTTGAGTTTTTCCTCAAGACAGCTGAGTGGCTCAAGATAAGCAAACTGCTGTGAAGGTCCGTACTCCCAGCTTGGAGCCATAGAAACCAGGCCACAGGAGGGCAGGTCCAAGGCAGTCAAACCTGGCACTGGACTGCTTTGAGAGAGCTGTCCACACTTAAGATTTCCCAGGTCTCTGCGTGTTCTCGGTGGGGGAGTATTCCTAGATTCCAAGCTCACTATGTGCTTTGTGACAGGGTCTTAATGGACATTGCGTTCAGACCCAAAACTCCCACTTTTCTTTCCCATCATAGACCTTGTGCATCACGTGCGCTGCTTTATGCAACTAGAAATCCTCTTTTAATTAGTTTCCAAGGCTTTAACCTAACTTTGTAAAAGTACAAATTCAGGCCTTAGGGGATATTAGAAAGGCTTTTTTGTTCTCACTTCCAGTGTGCAAGGGAAGGAATGCGTAGGCCAAGGTCACAGCCATGAAGTTGAAGCTCACAGCTTTATAAAAACCTTGATAAAGACCTCATGACTGGAAGCTCACATTTCTGGTTACGAGGTCTTTCTCAAGGATACTTGACCTCAAGTCAGTATGGGTGGCTGTGGGGAGCAGGAAGACATGAAACACATTGGGGTGTGTGTGTGTGTGTGTGTGTGTGTGTGTGTGTGTGTGTGTGTGTGTGGGTGTGTGTGTGTGTATGGGTGGCTGTGGGGAGCAGGAAGACATGAAACACGTTGGGGTGTGTGTGTGTGTGTGTGTGTGTGTGTGTGTGTGGTCCCTGAAAAAAAATTTTAACTCTTGGTCTGTATGTGCTACCTCCTTTATTTCGACTATATTATAATTTTGAGTAAATAAATGTCATGTGATATATTCATTTCACATACGCCCTGCTTCCTTCCATGAGGGATTTGAGGCAGGTCACCGTGGAGGGCCATGCTCAGTGAGGGTAAGACACAGGATAGAGGTGGCAGGTGGCTCCCATAGAGGCGTCATCTGCAGCCCTGGCTGGTGGCCTTTCCCTGCAGGTGATCATCAGGGAAGGGGAACTGCTCTGCGGGGTGTTGGACAAGGCGCACTATGGGAGCTCTGCCTATGGCCTGGTCCACTGCTGCTATGAGATCTATGGTGGCGAGACCAGCAGCAAGGTCCTCACCTGTCTGGCCCGCCTCTTCACCGCCTACCTGCAGCTGTACCGAGGCTTCACCTTGGGTGAGTAGAGGGCTTGCGTCTCTGGGGCTTGCCCGGAGCCGTGACCAGGCCCCTTCTCTCAGGGCTGACTCCTTAGCTCTCCAGTTCTCCCGGGGAGCAGCCAGGCTTTTTCTACAAAGGTGTCCTCACTCAGTCGCCCCACCCCCCACAGCCAGCATTTCTTCCCCTTTGACAACATTGTCTCCATTTCCATTCTGTCCCTTTCTTGACTCCCTTTTACAGTTTTGTTTTGGTTGCTGTTTGTTTGCTTTTTAGAGACAGGGTCTCACTGTCGGCCAGGTTAGGGTATAGTAGCCCAATCAGGACTCACTGCACTCCTGAACTCAAGCGAACCTCCCCCTCAGCCTCCTGAGTAGCTAGAACTACAGGAGCATGCCTCATGCCTGGCCAAGTTTTTTATGTTTTTGTAGAGGGCGGGGTCTTGCTATGTTGCCCAGGCTGGTCTTGAACTCCCAGCCTCCAGCAATCCTCCCACCTTGGCCTCCCAAAGTGGATTGTAACCTGGTTTAACTTGAACTGCCCTTGGTCCCTTTTCAGTTTTCTGCTCCTAGACTGATTCTCATACTAATACACACCCCCATTTTTTCCTGCAAGTGCTCTTCCAGAATTCTCTGGGGCACCACAAAGGGTCTTTCCTGTTGTCAGAACTGCCCACACCTTTCCAACACAGCAGGGCATGTCGGCACTCTTGGAAACACTATGCTGGGACAGACCTGTCAGATGACCCTAAAATAGGAAGGGGAGCTACCTTGTTTGTGCCCTGCAAAAGAGAGCACACTGCTTTAGGAAAGTGGTTTTGATAGCAGAAACAAGTGTTCTGTTTCTTTCTGTGTGCCATGTGTGTGGGCTTGACAGCAGATCCCCCGCAGAGCTCACCTCTGACTGAGCTTATCGAGACTCTGTGCCTCCAAGTGTTGGGAGCAGAGTCTGAGCCCTTTGGCACTGTGGCTGTGAGAGTGAAGCGAGGGGCTGCACGTTTAGCATGTGTCACAGTGCACATACAGACTGTCTTGTCAGTGATACCACTCAATGTGGAAGCAGAGTGCTCTGTGCTTCACGGACCTGCTTGCAGGCAGACACGGTGGGAATCCCAGGTGGGGCCCGTGGGCCTGCTGTGGTTGGGGCTTGCACTGGGGCCTGTGTTACATGTTATTCTATGTTTTCATTGTGTAATATATTTGATTGTAGAAAAGTAAAAAAAAAAAAAAAAAAAGTAGACATAAAGATAATTTAAATTTACCCAGCATCCAGTTGTCAGAGATAACTACTAATATCGATTTAATGCTTGTCTTTCTAGACTCTTCCAGTGCAAACCCGTTTGGAAAAAGTGGGATACCACCCTACATACTGTTTTGTAATTCACCTGTCTCCCTACCCACCCAGAATGCAAACGTCAGCTCATATAAATCTACGTCCTCTTGCCTAGTGACTACAGAGTATTCCATTTCTGTAGATGTATCATAGTTTGTTGAACCATTTCCTATGATTAAGCATTCAGGCTGTTTCCAGGTTCTGACAGCATTGCTGGAAAGTGCATCTTGAACAAACATGTTGGCTTGTACATCCAATTGTTTTACCAGGATAAGGGTTATCAATTACCAGCCTGTTTGGAAGCTGAAACTCACCTTGCCCATCTTAATTCTTCTAATGGGCCCGAACCACTGGAAGCATCTGTGCCCAGTTGGGAACCAGACTAGAGTCCCTCCCAGGGTAGCCAAAGAAAGTGAAGTGTGAAGACCAAACCTCATACTTGTAAAGTGTATATTTCAATTTCGAACAGTGACCTAGAACAAGCATAAGGCTCTCTGCTAACTAGAAGTTCATAGTGATTTAAGAATGAAAAGTAGAGGAAGATCACACAGACAGCTCATGAAGGAGACCACATGTAACAAGGAGGCACTCTTTCGCTCTGCTTAATGCATGGTGAAGAGAGCGGTTGGCCTCTGAGTTCAAGGTTGACCCAGAGGCCTCGGGGCTGTGAGAGGGAGTAAGGCTAGGCTGTGAGGCTAGAAAGGCTGATTTGACTCCAGCCCTTCTCTGCCGGACAGGTTGGTGAAGGACAGCCAGAGGGCCAAGAGCTGATCCCATGGAAGGGCCCACTTCTGGGGTTGTGGCTTGGTCACAGAGAGAACTTTTTTTTTTTCCCCCTCTTCTGCTCTCATGTGTTCTTAGAAGCCCTCGGGTTTCTAGACCACCACATTGGGAATTCCAGATATTTCAGGCCCAGCTCTGGAGCAGTCCAGTTCTTGTTTTCTTTCCCACTCAGATCTCGACTGAGGAACTTTTGAGTCTGGTAGGCCTCGCAGGTAGAGGTAAAAGCTTGTTGGTTTGAGAGCTGAGGTATAGAGACCTACTGCTGGCCACGGTTAGGTCTCCACAACACGTTGAGCCATAAGGGTGAGCTTAACTGAAGATGGTTCTCCAGGCTTGAGCACGTCTGTGTGTGTCCCTGGTGACATGTGGCTTCTGGAAGCCCAAACTGGGATGTTCTCTCTCTCCCTCTGCTTTCTCTAAACTTATCTTTTTATCCAAATTCCCTTTTTTGCCTCCAGCCCGTTCATCCCACACACATTTACTGAATGAAAGCAGGATAGTTGATCGCTAAGAACACAAGTTTGGGAGTCAGGCCTGGGTTTCCTGTCTCCCTCTGTGAACAAATAGCCCAATTTTGAACTTAGTTTTGTCATTTGTAAAATGGGAATTAGAAGGTTTGGGCTCTGGCAAGCACTTCAGAGCTGGTAGCGCTCTATTAATCATGATGCTGTTGTCATCGTCATTAGGTACTTCAGAGTTTGCAACCAGGTGAGGAGTCAGTCCTGGTTTCATCCAAGCTTGTCTGTTAACTTCACAGGCGTGGAAGACATCTTGGTGAAGGCAAAAGCGGATGCTAAGAGACAGGCAATCATTGAAGAGTCCACCCACTGTGGGCCCCAGGTAAGAAGGGGTTTCGGGCAGTGGCCTGTGTAGAGGGTAGGTGCCCTACAGATGGACGCCCCCACCCTCGTCCATGGGCCACAACCTCCGATGAGTTCCTGTTCTCGTTCTAGGCTGTCAGGGCCGGGTTAAACCTGCCAGAAACGGCATCACATGACGAGGTCCAAGGAAAATGGCAAGATGCCCATCTGGGCAAGGACCAGAGGGACTTTAACATGATTGATCTGAAGTTCAAAGAGGAAGTGAACCATTACAGCAATGAGATTAACAAGGTTAGCCTGGCATTGCATGCATTTATCCCCACCATTTTGAATGCTGATCTTTTAAAAAATTACATTTTGTTTCCCGCACAGAGCCCTTTGGAGCAGTTTGGCTGTCTAGCAGCTAACTAGGTGAGGTATGAGGTGGGATGGAGAGAATCCATCATTTTGAGGAGCCAGGGCTCTGTTCACTTACCCAGTTCGGGTCTGGACAGGCCTTGGATTAATGCTGAGAGAGAATGCTTTGTGCTGTTTTTCTTTTTAAATGTTTTCATTTTGAGGTGACTGCATTCCAGGAGGCCAAAGAAAAGTCTTTCCTATGGGGCCACTATAGGTAAACGGAGGTGGTAAAGAGCCTGAATCACTGCTACTGCTTGTGCAGTGGGCCTAAGAGTGCAGGCCCGGGTTTAAGTCCTGGCTCTGCCCTGTACTTTCTGTGTGACCCCTCGCAGGTGGTATCACCAGTCTCTACCTTGGCTTCCTCGCCTGGTATTAAGGATGTGAGGAGCACCACCTCTAGAGTTGCTGAGAGGGCTAAAGAGCGAATTTGCTCAGTGCCAAGCCAGTTCCTAGGCCGTTGAGGAAGGAGAGGGAAATCTCTGCATGAGCCAAGGCCACTGCCTCGCGTTTTCTGCCTTTCTGTGCTCAAGCCAGGGCTTTCCATCCTGCAGCTCGGAGGAGTCAGCCTGGCCCTCACCCTGCCTCCTGGACCTTGGGACCTAGCCTGAGGAAGGGAGGGGGAGGCAAGGCCAATGCTTAACAGCAGTAAAAGTGTGTCTATGGTGTCCTCTTGTCTGGCTTTCGGCATCCTTCTGCTGCTGAGAAGACAGACCTGTCATCGGGGCCAGTTCAGTCCTAGAGAGGCTTTGTTCACCACGGCCTTTCTAGCACCTCCCCAAGAACCAGGAGACTCAGTGTCCAGGATTGCCTGGGATGCCTGGATGGGGGGTGGTCTTCAGAAGCATCTCAGAATGGCTTCTTATCCCTCCAGCTCCCTCTTCTAAGCTGTTTCTCAAGAGCTTAGTTCTCTTTTGGCTCCAGAATGTAAGGATCACTGTCTCTGCTATGTTGGGCTGGATCTGGAACCCAAAGGCTTTAAAAAGACTCAGCCCCCCCCAAGCATCTCTCCAGGTTCCCCTGGGGGACTTCGCTGGTCCCGGGGCAGAGGCAGGCCTCCTGACACAGGGCCTGGGTGGCATGTTGGTCGGTGTGACATGACACAGACACTGGTGATCATTGCTGGCTGGCGGGGCCCAGGCCAGGCTCAGCTGGGACAGTCTACGAGGGTATCACCTTGGAATTTAATTCTTTTTCTTTTTTTTTTGAGTTGGAGTCTCACTTTCACCCAGGCTGGAATGTCACAGCTACTGCAGCCTCGATCTGCTGGGCTCAGGTGATCCTCCCGCCTCAGCCTTCCAAGTAGCTGTAACTCCAGGCATGCACCACCACGCCTGGCTAATTTTCTTGATATTTTGTCGAGACGAGGTCTCGCCATGTTGCCCAGGCTAGTCTCAAACCCCTGGGCTCAGGCCATCCTCTCTCCGCCTCCTCCCAATGTGCTGGAATTAAGGCTTGAGCCACAGTGCCTGGCTGAATTTGATTCTCTTCCAGCTCCTTTTTGGAGTCACAGACTGGATCTGCCAGCCTCTCTTGCTTTTCCTCTTCCTTCTCCCTTTTTTTTTTTTCAAGATTGGAATGCTCCCTTATTTTTACACACTCTGACAAAGAGACTTTCACTAAACAATCTTTCCAATGGAGAATAGAGAATTATGAACGTCAACCTCCAGCTGTCAGCGCTGCTCTCTCAGGGCCAGGGGTTCCTTCCCTTTGCCCAAGTGATGAGGTGGAGAGGTGTACTTCCCTTCCTTTATTAGCTTATCCTGCAGCTTCTTGGTGGCACTCAGACTTTTCTCACCGTTTTCTGCCGAAGCATACATTCTACAAAATCATCGAATTCTATCTTGCACTTTCTCTGCCCAGATACCACCAATTCCACATGCACATTCTCTCCATTCTTTTTTGAAAGCCTGGCATCCAGCAGGAATCTCGTAGGGCGTTCAGCACTTTGGATTGTCAGCCATCTATCTATGTTAAGGCCCAGCCTTTTTTGCACACCAAAGAAAGGCGTGACGTTCTGCCATAATGCCCCTGCCACCTCGCTGGCCGCCGCTACAAAGCCCCTTCTCCCCTTTTAGTGGCCAATGAGTTGGAAGCTTGGGTTCCTGGCAGAGAAAATCGAGAAAGTGAGAGGTGGAGGACACTCATCTGACTTCTGCTTAGGGGTTCTAGTGAAAGGATTGATGCCGAGTGAGGCTTTCCTTGACCTTGCATGGGATTTGGCACTTATGTCTGTATAAATATTCTGACTTTATTGCTTCCACATCTTGGATTTACCTTCAGACCGTGGCATTTTAAAAGGCGGGCACTCACTGACCGCCGTGTTGATTTAATCTGCAGGTTTGTATGCCATTTGGTCTGCACAGACAATTCCCAGAGAACAACCTGCACATGATGGTGCAGTCAGGAGCAAAAGGGTCAACTGTGAACACGATGCAGGTAAGCGCAAAGGCAGGTGGGTGTTCAGGTTGGTTTCTAAAATCCACATTCCCTGTAAAATGTGGCAAGTATGGAAAAAATAGCAAGCATATAGAAATCAGTGCAAGAGCTAACCACTGTTGGCATGTCAGTGTTATTGGTAGATATAGGTGCACACATGCAGAAGACAGGATATGTATAATGTAGGTGTGAATGAGCAATCTTCATATAACTGTTACATATATTCATGTTTATATACACACTGTGTGTGTGTATAATCTTGATCGACACCCTGCAATTTTGCATGATCTGCTTTTTCCTCGTACTCTTACATTATAAGCGTTGTCTTTGAGATTTCTTAAGCTTTAATTTGAGACCCATCATCCCTCAGAGTGCCTTAGTGCCATCATGGTGTTTTACAATTCTTAACACCTTTTTAAAAAAGTATCGATGCCCTTGACAGGGTCTCAAGGATCGCCCGTTGTTTCTTGAAAGTTGAGCATAGGGACAGGACTGAAAAGCTGAAGTCCTACAGGAAGTTCCTGGCTCAAGTGAAGCTGGACACTGTTCTTTCCCTGTCTCTAAGAGCATTAATAGGCCATTTTCTAAGCCAATAGCCAGAGTTCCCTCTTGACTCTAGAGTATCAGGATCACTATAAGGTACTGTTTTCTGCCAGCCACCATTTCTCATTGGGACCCTAAGGTGTCCCTTTCAGGTATAACATGCGACCATCTTGAAACATGGCTCTGTTTACAAAGATCACCCATTTTCAGGTGACCCCAAACGTGCAAATCCTGGTCAGTCAACAAAAGGAAGATGAAGTTACTTCTTTCGTGTACTTCCCTGGTTTGTTTAAAAATGTAGTTTGGCCTTTAAGAACTCAGTTTTCAGCCAGGCGCAGTGGCTCAGCCTGTCATCCCAGCACTTTGGGAGACCGAGGTGAAAGGATTACGTGAGCTCACAGTTTCCAGACCAGCCAGGGCAACTTGGTGAAACTCGTCTCTACAATCACAAAAATTAGCTGGGCGTGGTGGCATGCATCTGTAGTCCCAGCTACTTGGAAGGCTGAGGCGGAAGGATCGCCTAAGCCCAGCGGGTAGAGGCTGCTGTGGCCATGAACATGCCACTGTCCTCCAGCCTGGGCGACAAGAGTGAGATTCCAAATTTTAAAAAGCAAAAGAACTATTGTCATGCAGTTTTTTTGAAGGGCAGATCATCCCTTCACTGCTAGGATAAAGCATTTTTGAACACACGTGTGGATCTTCAGTTTCCTTTGGATTTCCTTTCCCCCAGATCTCGTGCCTACTGGGCCAGATTGAATTGGAAGGTCGGAGACCCCCGTTGATGGCATCTGGCAAGTCGCTGCCCTGCTTTGAGCCTTATGAATTCACCCCCAAGGCTGGTGGCTTTGTCACTGGCCGGTTCCTCACTGGCATCAAGCCTCCTGTACGTATTTTGGTTTTCCTTTCGCTTCTGGGCTCAATGGCAGGTGACCTGTGGCCCCCACTAACTTTGAACAAACATGGTTAAGTGATAAAAGCCAAGCTGTTCGCCACTTACTCACCAGACTCTAGGGTCGTGAGGACATGACCATGCCATGTTCACCATTAACACCAGAGTCTAGCACAGTGCTGGCACACAGTAGCTGCTCAGTAAATGTTTGCTAGTAGATGGAAAGACGAACAGGACCAGTGCCAGCTCCACCTTTTTCTGTGGTGTGACCACTAAGCCAATTTCTACTTCATTTGAAGGAAGCTAGAAAGGAGGGAGCCACTAACCAGGCACTCCCGTTGCCCAAAGGAACTTCAGAGAGGTGTGTTTCCTTCACAGTGGGAAACTTGGCCAGCTATAGCGAATGTTCAGTTTTGCCTTGTCAACAAGTATCCTCACACTTGTCAGAAGCAGCTTTTGGTAAACACGAGGACCTTGCATTCCTTGGTCTATACATCTTTGAAAGGGTGACATTTGTGGTCACACACCTCAGCCCAGATTGTGAATGAGCCCGTTGCTTAGTTCCAAGGCCACAGCTGCTCCAGGGACCCCTCCACCGACTGCACATGGACACTCCAGTGGTCATCTTTGGCCCCTGGCTGGGACAGTGTAGGGTTCATGGGGACCAGACTTTTAAAAACTGTGCTTGTGACCCTTCAGAAAGCATTATGGTGCACAGTGATCAGCATTTCCTTGTGTAAAGAAGCAGGATAGAGTGGTAAAGAGAACATCCAGGGCCAGGCTTGGTGGCTCAGCCTATCATTCCAACACTTTGGGAGGCCGAGGCGAGTGGATTGCCGGAGTCCGTGGGCTCGAGACCAGCCCGGGCCTCTTGGCAAGACCTTGTCTCTACAATAAATCAAAAATTAACCAGGTGTGGTAGCACGCGCCTGTGGTTCCGGCTACTTGGAAAGCTGAGGCGGAAGGATCGCTGGAGCCCAGCAGGTCAACGCTGGGGTAGCTGTGAGTGTGCCACGGAACTCCAGCCTGGTCAACCTAGTGAGGTTCCAACCTAAAAAAAAAGAGAGAGAGAGAGCAACCAAGTTTATTCCCCCAGTAAGGGATGGGTTTATGTCATCAGGCTTTAGTTTGAGTGAGGTATCTTTATATGCATATGTATATATGTCTGTTTGCTGATTACTATTGAAAGTGTATTTCTTACTGTGAGTAACAATCAGAAAGGTAGGAAAACACTCTGTACCTCTGTTTACACTGTCGGAAGCAAAATTTAGACATGGGGGCTGAGCTGAACAGCTCAGTGAGGCGCCAATGCCGTTTCTATTTGGAAAATGAACGTGTGGTATATGATACTGCAGATAGGTGCTTTCACTTCTGATCTGCTTGTCCCTCCATGCTTAGGCAAGGTGAGACAGAACCACAGGGTAGGGCAGAAGTCATTGGGGGCCGTGGTAGCCCTTGAGGTCAAGGTCCTAGGAGATCAGGGAAGCGAGCGCCCATCTGGTCATGAGGGGCAGCTGGAGGTGTTGGCCTGAGCCCTCAGGGAAGCACACCATCCTCACCGCCCACCTTTGGGGTTCCGGGTCCTCTCTCCACAGGAGTTCTTCTTCCACTGCATGGCGGGACGAGAGGGCCTGGTCGACACTGCCGTGAAAACCAGCCGCTCCGGCTACCTCCAAAGGTGAGACACTCCTGCTGTGCCCCCTCAGGTGGGGCTGGTGTCCCAGGGCCCTTCACCTGTGTTGCCTCTCGCATTTTCATTGACAGTTTACTCAAGGGTCCTTGAACGGAAAAGTGTGTAGAAAATGCCCTTTGGGTGTCCTGAGACAGAAAACACCCGTTTCCCCTTCTACGGGGTTGGTGGAACATGAGTTCGGAGGCTTATTTTCAGGGCCTCTGTGTTCTGAGGGTCTGCTGTTCATTCCTGTGGGGAGTGGTGGATGTGGGAAATGGCCTTGGCTGTGGTGAGCTCATCTTGCTTCCTGGGAGGTCAGGAGCCTGAGACGAGTGCTGACCAGCACTGGGCTCTGTCCTCACCGCTGGGGGAGGGGGGCAGGGACGGTGACTTCTGGGAACCCCCCAAGGGTGGCAGGACGGGAAACATAGGCAGAGTGGCTAGAAAGGTAAGGGAACGGGGCAGAAAGCAAGGGAGGTTGAGGGAGAACGTGGGGAAAAGGCCACCCAGTGAGGGATATCAAATCAGCAGTTCCTAACACCCTCTGTGTCCTTGGCAATCACTGTACTGACAGAGTTCAAGAGTCCTTGACAGCCCCCTACCTTCCACCCCTTTTGGATCTAAGGACACTCTCCCAGGGAGCTGTGTGTTGCAGGAGAGTGAAGGAGCAGACAGTAGTCCCGGTGGCTGGAGCTGGTGGTGGCAGCCAGGCCTCTCAGTGACACAGCTGCAGCCTCCTGCTCCTGGAAAACCTCCCGGAAATGCAGCCGTGGCTGGGGCGGCTGTGGCCCAGAGCCTGGGGCCTTGGAGCCGGCTTGCCCTGGAGTCTTGCTTGCCTGCAGACCAGCAGCCCCCCCTCCCTCCCCTCCACTGTCCCCGGCCCCCATCAGAGGCTGCCCTGGGACACAGCAAGCCTGGCAGTTGTCTTCTTACAGATGCATCATCAAGCACCTGGAGGGGCTGGTCGTCCAGTATGACCTGACAGTCCGTGACAGTGATGGCAGCGTGGTGCAGTTCCTGTATGGGGAGGATGGCCTGGACATTCCCAAGACACAGTTCCTGCAGCCTAAGCAGTTCCCCTTCCTGGCCAGCAACTATGAGGTAGCGTGCTAGACCCCAGAGCCTGGACCCGTGCCAGATGAGAGAGCTGGGGCAGCCCCGTCCGAGTGCCCATTGGGAAACACAGTGGGAAGTCTTTATAAAGCACAGTGCCCTGGAACACTTGTTAGTTTCAGAGCCTCCTTGTGTACTTCGATCACATGAGCTGGCTAGAGGGTGCGAGCACCTGTGGTGTGCCCCCCAACTGCCACTGGGGACGTTTGCCATGGGATGTTGAGCCCACGCCAGAGCACCCCGTGAATACCCTCTGACTTCTTCTTCACTGCAGCCTGGGAAGTAAGGGTCACTCGACCAGCTTTACAGCTGGGGCAGCTGAGTCTCAGAGCTTAGCCACTAGCTGGTGAGTGGCCAAGCCTGCGCGTATCTGATACAGATTCAGGGTTTTCACATTTGTCAGGGCCACCACTGCGGATTGAGTAGTTGCCCCCCTTTGCAGGTTGTGAGACGAAAATCTGTGACTCATCCAGAGTCAACAAGCTGAATGCAGACTCGAGGGTCACACTCCGGTGCTGGGGCCTTTCCATCCTGGTGCCAGTCCCAGAGCTTCGGCCGTCACTCTCCCCTCATCTTTCTTTCCTGGAAGCTCCCTCGCGTTCCTGGAGGGGCTCTGTGTGTGCTGCGCCCCTCAGACGTTGGCTCCTGAGTCTGGCTTGCACACCGTGAGGCCTTGACGATCCATGTGTGCTTGGCTCGTCCGGAGGGCTCCACAGTGTCTGCCTCGGTCCCATGAATGTGTGCCACATGGCCCTCATCTCATTCGTCTCGCATGTGTGGTTGGTCTGTTTTAGGTGATAATGAAATCAAAGCATCTCCATGAAGTTTTATCCAGGGCAGAGCCCCAGAAAGCTCTCCGGCACTTCAGAGCCATCAAAAAATGGCAAAACAAGCATTCCAATGCCCTGCTGAGAAGAGGCGCTTTCCTGAGTTACTCCCAGAAAATTCAGGCAGCCGTGAAAGCCCTGAGCCTCGAGGATGAGAACCGGAATGGCCGTAGCTCTGGGACTCAACAGGTGATGCCGGGAAGCTGTGGCCCCAGTGCCTGGCACGTCCAGTCTCAGTGGGTGAGGCATGAGGGGTGGTTTTCTTAAGAGAAGGTGTAATAATAGAATCCAGCTTGGTCCACCATCAGTCAGGACAGAAGTGGCACCCAGATGAGGATGTAAGGAGAGGACTTTTAGCAAGGGTGTGGGCAGGGTTTGGGGGAACTAGCGAGGGCTGGCGACTTTGGGATTCCTCAGTCCCCAAGGTGTGAAGGGACAGGAGAGCAGTCACCAGATATGATAGGGTGACTGTGTGCCGAGATCCCTGGACAGGGGCCCCAGGTAGACCCTTTCCCTCTGCCGGTGGCTCGCATTAGCCAAGCACAGCTGGGGCTGGGAGCAGAGGAGCTCTTGAGGCAGTTGCTGTGGGACAGCCCTGGTGGCACAGGGCGTGTGAAACAGCCTGGATCTGCGGGCACACACAGCCCCAGCACTGTCACCTGGCTTGGGGTGACTGTGTCCTGGTCGGTCTGGGCCAGTCCTGGCCTTGCCCCTTGTCCTAGCATAATCATTAGTAGTGTCCTTGTTATTGTAAAAGAATCCCAGTATGCACACCTGTGCTTTCATGGGCCAGGATGTAGAGTCGTGGTCAAGCAGCAGGTCCTGGGACAGAGGAAGCCTCTCCCTGTTTTAAATATTGAAACTCATTGCATTCAGATTTCCATCTTCCTCTTTCCCTTGACTCTCATTTGAAGTCAATACCTCTGATGCTTCTTTGCTCCTGGGTGTCCCAGGAGGAGAAGGCCATCCCGGGTGCCCTCCCATGGAGCTAGACCCATCCTCCCCTCCTTCCTTTCAGATGTTGAGGATGTGGGACGAGTTAGACGAGCAGAGCCGAAGGAAATACCAGAAGAAGGCGGCCCCTTGTCCTGACCCCACTTTGTCTGTGTGGCGCCCAGACATCTACTTTGCATCCGTTTCAGAAATGTTTGAAAGAAGGGTTGATGACTACTGTCAAGATTGGGCAGCTCAAGCAGAGAAGGGTTATAAGAAATCAGAGCTTTCTCTCGACAGGTAATGATAACCGATTTGTTCACGGCGTGTGTGGGAGGAGAATCTGCCCCTTCCCTACCAGCTGCCTCCTAGGGTTGACTCCAGCTGGGGGTGGAAGGGGGAGCTTCACAAACCCTGAGGGCACAGGGGCGGACAGGCACAGGCAGGCAGGAGTGGATGCCCCCACCTGGGCCAGGACAGCAGAGAGTGACATGAGGGACAGAGGCTTGCAGAAATGACCTCTTTCTTGAGTTCAGTGTGGTGGGTGTGGCTGACAGAGGCAGGGAATCTGTTCACTGCCCAGCTGCTGCCAACCCCGTGACCCAGGGCAAGTCATTCATTGCCCGGGGACAGCGTGTCTCAGCTTTTCATGAGGGCTTGGATCTGATTCCTCCAGTCATCCTTGGAGCTTTGGGTTTCAGTGACGAGGAGAAAGGGACCACATGAAGGCCTCAGCTGGGAT